CTGTTACATTATGAAGGTTGATTCCCATGCTAAATGCTATGGTTACAATACAGGTCATAGTATCCTTAAAGAACAAGTTGATAGTTTTTTTGATTGTATCTGGATGATGGAATACCTGATATATACTATTTTTGACCTGTCTCTTCTAGCTGATAATGAATCCTGTAGGTAGTTGGCCACTCAGTATGTAATGTCAATTGTTTTACAATACACAATGACTTTGTGCTTGCCTTCAAGAACCCAAAGGATATCTGGGAAAGCAGTGATGCTCAGCCCATGGGTAAGTTCATTGACCACCATTCTGATATTTTTACACTCACATGAGTGCTGTTTAACATGATATTGGCCTGGACATAGCTGTAAGATGTCACAGACTGCATCTTGATGTGGCCCTGGTATCAATGTTGCAGTAACCACCACTACTGGTACATGTTCTGGTAGTCATTTCCATATCAATGCAATCTGACGATAGGCCATTTAAAACTCCTCACTCCGGGGTGGTAGTACATACACCTTATCTATCCCCAAAAAAGCAACATTCTGACAGAAAACTTCATCTTACAATACCAGGTCAGCATCATGTCCAACCAGTTTCTCTGGGCTCCAGACTATCAATGCCAAATTTCATCCAGCAAGTCTCAGTTCTCTGCTCTCACATGATAAACAGTGTCTACATTCACAGACACTGTTTTAATTCCAAATTCCCTTATCTTCTTGGCCTGTTGTGGTACATAAGTTCCTTTACATTAACTATGCTGTTTCATAGACTAACCTGTATATCTCCCAATACAGTAAATGGTATGATAATGATCCCAACTGGTTTTTTGAAAGGTATAAAGATTCCATCAATGGGCCTTCTCAAGATGTTTTGAATGACCAAGATGACACCAAAGAACAAGGCTGTTTTCCCACCTCCAGTAGGTACAACTATTGACTAGGATGTAATAATCCACAGTGGACTCAGAGAGTACAGAAAAGCAAATTGGACCAGCCGGGGATTGAACCCAGGACCTCCTGCCTATATATGGTGGTGCTCTAACCAACTGAGCTACCAGCCCTTGGTTATCAATACCCAATTGCACAATGTTGTCTAACAAGGCCCAGACTTTGACCTTGACAATTCCAACTTAATATATTCCTGCTAATGTTGCAGCCCAGCTCTCAACCTGGAATTTTTAAGGACTAGTCAACTATTGTGGGACATATCCTTCTATGACCCCTCCTATTAGAGCCTTACATTCAAGGGTGAGCCAGGTCAAATTCATAGCTTGACAGTCATTAGTATAGTTTGACCAAACTATAAGAAGGGATATGTTTTGCTATGGCTGTAATGTGATGTATGGTTTATATAAATCAAAAGGTCCAGAGAAGATGTGATTGATAAGAACCATAGACCATTGTATGGTTTTGTACAACTATACCTGTTCTTCATTATAGTCACCTACAACCATAGTGTACAGTATGGTTTACAGAAACCAAATAGATCAAAGATGATATGGTTAACAGGAACCATTGACTATTGTATGGTTTTCTGCAACTGTACCTGTTCTTCATTATGGTTGCCTACAACCATAGTGTATGGTATAGTTCACAGAAACCAAATAGACCACAGAGAATATGGTTGAACAACCATAATAATTGTACAGTTTTATAGAACTATACCTGTTCCTCAGTACAGTCTTGTAAAACTGTAATATAGGTATATAGTTTGTTGAAGCCAAACATTGGTGTATGGTTTAGAAACTATATGTTTATCACTGTAAAGCAGACCAGATGTGGCTATAAATATTTTGGAGAAATTCAAAAAATATTACTGCTGTTATTTTTCCACCCAGTAGGATTGAACCTGTAATTCAGCATATTGTGCAGGTTGTTTTTCAACTCAGCCACAATAACATTACTCACTTAAACAAAAGTCAATTTATTTAGGTCAAATCACAGAAAGTGTAGAACATGAGGCTTGTGTGAGGCTCAAATACCTGCCAGTGGTTTGGTGTTGCTATGTTTATTGTGTTGTACACTATTTTCTCTTTAATCCCCATCCTCAGAGCTGTCCAGGAAAGTCTTTTTTTCCCCATCCTTTTCATTTAGCTGATGCAAAGTTTTCATAGCATTTCAAATGATGGCTCTAAGGATGGCTTTTCATCCCTCCCATTTGCCTGTCTTCTACAAATAGAGATCATTGAGCATAATACCCAAGCTGCAGATAATGTCATAAATGAAGTACCTCACTTGTGGGGTGAGTATCTTGTCCTTCATACTAATAAAACTAAGTGAAACTCAGCCGCTGCCCGAGAGGCTATAGAAACGACTTTATTATTTACCTAAGTGAAACTACAATAGATGTTAGTTTAAGGTGATCTCTAATAAATGTAAATGTAACATACCTCAGCCGCTGCCCGAGAGGCTATAGAAACGACTGAGGTATTCCTATACTAATCCCCCTACTACTTATAGTCGGAGGTGCTACTCGCTACAGTATAATGACTCCTAGGAGAATAATGGTTACTCCATGGAGTGGTGGCTATGCTCCATGGAGAACAATGGCTGCTTCAGCAGAGGCCGGGTTTATCCGGTTTTGTCACTTCCACTCGAGTGCAACCATAGTCCCATAGCTTTAGAGAATTTCCAGTGTTTTTCATGAGTGAGGGGTTTAGTGAGAATGTCTGCAACCATATCTCTTGTAGGAACATATCTGATTACTGCCTCTCCCTTTGATACTAAGTCATCTTGGACAAAATGATATTTCCGTTGAATGTGTTTTGTGCAAGCACGGAACTGTGGATCTCGTGTAAGAATGATAGCTGCTTGATTGTCACAGTGCAATGTTGTAGGTCCATTTTGAGCATATCCAATTTCTTCAAAAAATGTCCGAAGCCATGCAAGGTGTTGTCCAGCATTGCTCAATCCAATGTACTCTGACTCCGTGGAAGATAAAGCAACCATGTTTTGTCTTTTGCTTGTCCAGGAGATTGCTCCTCAGATGGTGATAAAGACAAACCCTGATGTTGATCGAGACGTGTCTGGGTCTCCAGACCAATCTGCATCTGAATATCCATAGAAATTCATGTCCATGGAGACATCTGTGCCATCATATCGTAGTTCCATGTCCCTGGTTGCTTTCAGATATCGGAGGACACATTTTGCAGCTTCCCAGTGATGGCTCCTTGGAGCTGAGCTATGCTTGCTTAGTATTCCAACAATGTAGGCAATGTCTGGGCAGGTTCCGAGCATGGCATACATGAGGGAGCCTACAATTGAGAGGTATGACACTTAACGCCCTTCAATATGCATCTTGTGTTGCACAATATCTTCCCCTGGAGCATTTGCAAGGAGTTTTGATCCATGGGCCATTGGTGTCCATACTGGTTTGCAGTTCTTCATTCCAGTATGCTCCAGGACTGTGTCAATGTATTGGCGTTGCAATAGGGATATTGTTTTGTTTGAACGATCACGTTGGATTTCTATTCCGAGGATGTATTTGCTTCTCCAAGGTCCCGCATTTTGAATATGGCTTCGAGTTTGGCTTTTGTGATATCCATGAATTTTTGGGATGAAGCTCCTAGGAGGAGGTCATCTACATAGACAACAACAAAGCATATTTGTTTATTGTCCCAGAATACATAGAGACATGTTTCTGCGTTTAGTCTTGTGAAACCGAGCTCCTGGAGCTTGCAATCAAAAGTTTTGTTCCATGTACAACCAGCTTGTTTTAACCTGTAGATAGATTTCTTCAATCTCCAGCAGTATCCAGGTTGGATAGGAACACCCCCTGGAGGAAGCATGTACAGTTCTTCTTCAAGTTCTCCATTGAGATAAGCTGTGGATACGTCCATTTGATTGAGTTCTAGGTCGTACTTTGCTACCAGGGCTAGAATAATTTGGATTGACTCTAAGTTTGCAACCGGAGCAAAAACCTCCTGGTAATCAATCCCCTCCCTTTGAGTAAAACCTCGTGCAATAATCTGGAGTTTGTATCTCTCGATGTTTCCGTTCTGATCAAACTTGATCCGGAACACAGGTTTTGATGTGATGGGTTTTACTCCCTTTGGAAGTGGAACAGTGTCATATACTATATTAGTATTGAGACTTAGGAGTTCCTCCTCCAAGGCAGACTTCCATAATTCTCCATCCGGACGTGATAAGGCTTCCTTTAGTGTCCTTGGAAGGTCTGTGTTAGATTGACTGGTACTTGCTATTCCAGCAAAGAATGTCTCCTCTGTATCAGATGTTTCTTCATGAACCTCAGGAGTGTTAGGTTTCTCCATGGAGTTGTCATGCTGCTCTTTTCAAGACTGTTCCTCATCTAGAGTCCTTTGATAATCTCGGTTTTTGTCTGCAGGACAGGTCTGGCGACTGCTTCTGCGTACTCCTAGGACTTCAGCAGGCATGACTGCTCTTTTAGGAACTTGTGCAGGTACTCCAGGGAGTAGACACATTTGTGTATTTGTTGCCCCACTTACTCCTGAAGGTGTTGAATCACTCCTCGGAGGTGTTGGATGACTCCTTGGAGGTGTTGTATGCCTTCCAGAAGCTGATCCAATGGACAGGCTGTCTAGCTGTATTCGGAATGAGTCCCTCCCACTGATCTGTGCTAGTGTCTGTGTTCCAGGGAGCAGTGTCATCCTTTTGTACCTTTCCGGATTCATTGAATATGACATGCCGACTGGAAAACACAATCCGTTTTTCAGTGTCTAGGAGTTTGTAGGCTTGCTTTCCATGTGTGTAGCCAATCATTATGGCTTTGCGCCCCTTGGAGTAAAACTTCCCTTGTCTTTTGTCTTTCGGAATCAAGGCATATGCTTGGCATCCGAAAGGGCGAAACAAAGTTGGATCAACTCTCCTTTTAAAAAGTATTTCATATGGGGTCTTTCCATGGAGTCCTGATGCTGGGCTGCATGCTGTGATATATGCAGCTGTTTGCATGGCATCTACCCAAAATGACTTTGGGAGCTTGGAATCATGGAGCATAGTGGTTGCTAATGTAGCCAATATCTGATTCATGCGTTCTGCAATGCCATTTTGTTCCGGAGTATCTGCAGCTGTAGTTTCTTGGATGACACCATCTCCTTGGAGTTGATTTTTGAATGCATTGCCAGTATATTCTCCTCCCCCATCGCTCCGGAGGAATTCTGTGTATAGTGGAGTGAAGTTTTCTTCTCCCAAATGAGTCTGGAAGAATATTTGGACATCTTCTTTCCATTGCTTGTATCGTTCCAGTGCTTCACTTTTATGTTTTAGGAAATATATCCATGGAAATTTGGGGAAATCATCTACAATGATAATCCAGTACCAAAAACCCTCCCTGGAAGTTGGTTTGATTGGTCCTCCAACATCTGTGTGCACAATTTGTATGGGGTGCTTGGCTCGGTTTCCTCCAGTGGACTTGAAAGGTAGTTTCTTCATCTTTCCTAAAGCACAAGGTTCACAAAACTCCAGGGTTCCGGTAAGGGTGTCTATGTCCTGGAGCTGTCTTTTTGTAACCATTTGTTGCAAGCGGTCCATTCCAATGTGTCCCATTCTCCTGTGCAATAAATTTACATCTACTGCTGCAAAAGCTGACTCCGGGTTGATTTCGGGTTTTGCTTGGATGTGATAAAGTCCTCGCTTGTGTAACGCAGTGAGGATAAGTTCCTCCTTTTTCCGAACTTCACAAGCATTTGACCCTGCTGGAAAAAGTGTTGATAACCCCTTTTTGGACAATTTGTGGACAGAGACGAGTGCTAACGTGAAGTTTGGCACAAGTAAAACATTTGACAGTGCAATATTGTAGTCCTTTTTGCCAACAGTTGCTTGTAGGATTACTGTTCCAATGCCAATAGCATTTACAGAGGATTCATCCCCAAAACTGATTGTCCTCGGAGGATGCAGAACATGGTATGTTCCTGGCTCAAACCAGGAGCGGTGAGGGACCATGTGGGATGTTGCTCCAGAGTCAATAATAATTGTTGTTTTGGTCTTATCGGGTTCTGACACAAGGTAAGCTTGAATGTGTTTAGCAAGGGGCTTGGAAATATGTACATGATCTAATGCAATATGACTCTGTTCCTCCTCAGAGTCAGATCCAGATGATTGCTCCGCTGTATTTGCCTTTTCCTTCTCTTTTCCTTTATCCTTGTGTCTTTCCTTTCCCTTCTTCCTTTGACCTTTTTCAGCTGACTGAAGTGTTCAACACTCCGAGGTGTTGTGTGATTTGGCTTTGTGGACACGTTCTGCAACACAATCAACCAGCTTATGGAGCCCATATATATTGTGGTAGGATAGACATAATGTATGAGCCACCTTGGTTGAAAGAGATAAATTAATATATGTGCTTGAGCGAGAAAAGAGGCAATGTACCCCTGGTATAGCTATTAATCTATGAAATGATTTATGGCCTATTCCATCCTGTACAGCCTAGTAAGCAACCCTCTAGTCTAGCTCTCACAAGAGTGCAAAAATGTTCCCTGATCCATCTGAAATATTTGAATCCATATCCATATCACCATTAATATCCTCAGCTCCAAATTCTCTCCTCCATTTTTCATATACAGTTTTATCCATCCTAATCATCTTCCCTGCAATGGGGTGGGGTACCTCGATATGCTCCTCATCATCTTCATCAGAAAGCTTTGAGGGTCCAGCCATATTCTCCTCAGATTCTGTGGGAATAAGGTCATAGAGACAATCATAGTAGTCGTCCACCATGTCTTCTGGGTCTTCATCTATAGGTCTAAGTTCATCAGGTAATATATCAGGTACTTCCCTTGTCTCCAAATCATTGCCCCTATCAAGTTCTCCTGGAATTGTCAAACTTTGTAGCTTCCCTTTGTTATACCACTTGCAGCTTCTTGCTGATGACAGATGGGGTATTAGGCCCTGGGGAGTTTTAAGCTTCTTGTAACAAGCAAGAAAGATTATAGGATCCTCTCCCATAAACTGGGCAGATGTGAGCTCAACTTGAACGTTCAAAGCCTACTGATTGTAGGCCAACCATAATCAGATGCTAGACATAGAGGGGGATATAAACACAGTAAAGGTGCCTACTTGTGGATCAGATGGATGGGTGTTGACGTGACAAGCACAATAACAGCAAAGGTCAGTAAGGCAAAAATACAACAGTCTGAATACATATTCTCAAGCCTAAATATTACATGTAAAGCTACAAACTACACTGTGACCAATAGCAATACACTCTATAGGCACAGTTCAGGCTTTGTTCACCTGCTATGGGTGCGTGTTGATCTGGAGCACTTGCTGACAGGCTCATCACTTTTATTTCTATCTGAATTATGTCTAGTTCTAGTAAGCCTGATCTTTTATGAAGTCAGAGGTATGTGACTGTGTAATGAGACATCACTGTGCTGATGAGGCGGTGATTCCGGAGACTCCTGTTTCTGAGCATTTTGATGACACAGGTTTCTTTCCGGCTGCAGTTTGCTTCTGTTTTTGAGAGGCTGACTACTTTGACAACACAGATTCCTTGCCAGCTGCAGTGTGCTTTGCTTTCTATCCCAGTCAATTTGCTGACAGTAGGGGCCTTTGCAGTTGACCATGATCAACCATAGCATCCAGAAAACGGACTCCATGTCATTACTGATGTTGACAGGCCAATCTGGGACAACAAAATGGAGCAAGGAAGCCTTGACTTGAAGCCATGAATTGCCATCACTAATGTCACAATGAATAAGATCACATCTCAAGTAACCATGCTGAAAGCCTGTGTAGCCAGATATTAGCAAGTGATGAGATGAACATAAATAATTCTTGGTTTACCAAGTAAAACACCAATGATCCCATCCAGCATTTCACATACACAGGAAAACCACACAAGTTCTACCCCAACTGTTTTCATGGCCATGTAATGATGTGTATGGTCCTCCAAGGCAGCCAACTCTGAAACTCCAACAGTGCTCATGATGACCTTGGTTGTGTCCTGAATAAGTGTCCCAGGATGTGCAATAGATGGCATAAAGGTTGATGATGGTGAAAGGCGATGGTCTCTGATTGGAATTGCTGAGTAAAAAATGTGTGTCATCCCAACCAGTATTTGCCCTATCATATAAGGCATCCACTTCTGGATTTCCAGATCTGATGATGTTGTCAAAAGATAGAAAAGGGTGAGGTTGATTATTGTTAGGATGACGGAAGATAGGTGAGGAGCTTTCATTATAATCTGCAAAGAATGGATCTCTTGTCAAATCCTCTAGCTTATTGTGAATGTCACTGTCAGAAGGAGTACCAGTGGTAAGCCAGCAATCTTTGATAATGACGTGATCAGGATCTTCAGGTGCACAAGGCCCATCACCAGAGACCTCCACCACCATAACCCTTATGGCTCTTCCCAGCAGGCTTGTTGGCTTGAAGAGGATTGCAACAACTTTACAGAGTAGAGTAGCTGCACCTTGCTCAACACGCAAAACTGGCACACCCTCATTGCTGTAATCCATAGCATGGTTGTAGCCTAGCCATCTAGTCTGCGAGTAACAAAGGAATATCATGGTCCTGATAAATAGCTCAGGGTATCTATTACTGTCAAATGGTAAAGTGGTAATGTTGCCTCCTCTCATGAATAGTGATAGCATGGGCCCGCAGAGAGACAGTTTAATGTAAAATCTCTTAACAACTTGCTCATGAAGGACAAACAATGCAGTATCTGCCAACTGGCCTACAAAGTGGGAAAAATCCATATTTTTGACCTTGTACATAGAGAGCAGATGAAGCCAGGTATACCAATTGGCGTGACTTCCTCATTGAAGCATTTATTCAAACTGATTGCAAGTCATCTATGATGCTATCTTGTCCTCCTGCCTTTTCCTGTATTCTGTGTAGAGATCTGGGGAATACACCTGACACCAATCACACATAATATATCCACCAGGTCCAGTGCCTTTGGTAAGAATCACAAAGTTCCTCCACGATGGATGCCACAGTTCCTTCTAACAGGGTGGTTGTAACAACCAAGAGTTTCTTACTCTGGCGCACAACTCAGACAAGCAAAAAAATGAGAGAAAGAAGGGATCACCCCTTAGGTTTCAACAAGTTTGTTGTGCTAGACAACAGGAGGACTCGCTGAGTCCTTCCCTATGTATTGCTCCTACATATATATAAAATACATGAGGTACTGTACAGTTGTAAATAAAGTTTAAAGTCCGATGTTTAGCATGTGACCAGTCACATGGTGAGCCTAGACACTGGTCAGGTGATGTGTCACATAACTTGGTCATGTGACTATGAAAAGTCCGAAAATATAAAGTAAAGTAAATGGTCACATGATCAGTCATGTGACTTGGAAAATAAAAAGTAAAAGTACAAAAAGTGAAGCGTAAGTAGGTGCTGGTATGTCTATTGTAACAGTGGTATCCCGACCAAAGGTCCAATCTTGCATAATATGAGATGGTGAGTAAGTTGGCTGTGGTTTCTTTGACTCAGGATAAGCCTGAGCATGCTATATTATGGTATCACCTGCATGAGAATCTAGTTTGCTGGTTAACTCTTCAAGAAACTGGCTGTCTTCTCTCCACTGCTTTTGAAATTTCCAATATATAGGGGGTTTTACGGGGCTTCTGCATCTGCTCAGCAAAAAAAATGTCAGGGTAATCATTTAAGTCATAATAATGACCCTTTTTCTTGTGATAATTGACGAGATTAGAAAGAACATCAAGATTGGCCCATAGTGGCATTGATGGAAACATGAATATATGGGTGAAGTCCATTACTTGTAGATTGTAATAGCTATGCACACTTTGTCCTTGTTCAGTTCAATATCCATTGCCTTGTGAGTCACAATCTTGTTCAAGGTATGTGGTTTCTCAATCAGCTAGTAAAACCATCCAGTAAGAAAAGAGTGACTTACCCTATATCTGTAGCTAGATTGACTTGTGAAGCTTGATCATAGGCCAATGGAGGCAGCTCAGCGTAACCACTGTTCTCTCAGCTAATTTGGTAAGCATAGTTTTCCCACGTGCTAAAGGTAGGGTGCTAACTGACCATTGTGTTGACGGAGATCCTTGTAGCAATGGACTGTAGTAGTATGGAGGTCAGGCTGTAACATCCTTGAGGTGAAGTATAACCTGCTAAAACTTTGGGTAAGCATGATATCTCAGTCTACACTACTTTTGTGTGTTCTTCTATCACCAATAACATGAATAGTACATTTATTTTCAGCATGCTTGATCTATTTTTGGGAGATGAATTCAATTATAACAGGTGTGTGGCACAATGTGCCAGTATAAGGAACACATTGTAGCCTTAGAGTTAAGCACACAGGACTGTGAGAAGTCCCACTCACCTTTTGATGGCATGAGTGTCCTGGCAGGACACTTGCACCTCACACTTTCCGCCACATGACATCAAGACTGTGGGAATGTTCAACCAGCCATGCACAACACCTCCCTATTAACCCCCAGCTCATTTTTTTTACTCAGGATGGAATTGACTTGATTTTGCGCTGTGTAGAGACATCTGGAGATTCTTGTGTCCCTCAACTTACTGCAAGTCTCAAGGCAATTCAATCAGACCCACCTGAAACTTCACAAAATTCTAAAAGCAGAATTCAATCATCAGCATCTGGACCAAACAACAGGAAGCATCACACATACCCTGGACACGCCGAAAGGTTGAGGCATTACCCTAGGAATGGAATGCCCTTAGTCAGCAAGTCCAGATGCAGGCTTGGGGAAGATTTGGTACATATCCGCTTTGGCATCTGGCCATTTCAACTCAACATCATCCAACCCAGCTATCTGGGTCTTGAGCATCGAGGCCGTTGTTTGTCAAACCATTTGGTGTAGTCCTGAAATAGTGGAGGGTTCTGTGCTTGCGTGCACACATTTGTTAGGGCATGAAGTGGGCATGTGTTACGCACGAAGTGCTTAACAAAGTCTGAGGGTTCGTCGAGGTTTGTAAAGAGACTTATCTGAAGACAAGTTCGAGAACATAGTTCTGAGTGGAGGTCTTCCAACGGGAGTTGGTCTTCTTCTGAATAGAAGTCTGATCTTAGGAGTCTAGCTTTGTAAGCGTAAACTGTGTAGAATCGTATTAGAGAATACTACTGCTGTTACATGGTATTTATAAGGGAAAGGAATCGGTGATAGGAGTTAGGTCCTATCTAGGGCAGGTCCGTCTGTTGAGGACTAAGTACTATAATAGGTACTGTGAATGCGAGAGGAACAGAAATGTACGTGAAGGAAATGAGTCATCGGTCCGATGGTATAACTGATGAGTAAAAAGAAATGAGTAGTCCTTAAATGTCCAATAGAGATCGTAACAGCATATTGTTTATTTTGATGTTAAGTGTTATAAATCTAGTTATGAGGGCACAAAGGTGAGTCCCATTTGTTAGTTCTTTTTTGTTAGTTTACTGACCTTTTTTTTTGAATTTTTTGAATGCAACAGGATAGGCCATGACATTGAAAGGTGTCTATGAGACAAGGATTGTGCATCTGGCATCTAGCCCATCCAAGCGGACATTCTATTAATGGGTATCAGCCGGCTGCAAGTGGGTCAGTGTACTCACTGGTTATCATTGCAGGCCTTGACCTTTGCTGGATGCTGGGCCGAGCAGAAAGCAAAGTTGTTTGCAATATGGCCAAATGTCTGAGGCATCCCCCAGCAAATAGTAAGTCCCATAGTACCTATCCTATTCCCTTGCTAACTGCCTTATTTCTGTAGCTTGTGGTGTATTGATTTTGTCACAAATTATACCTAATGTTTGTAAATTGCGGGAGCTGCTTCCTCTTAGCCTCCCTGCCTTTTTCCTCAAGGACTCAGTTGAGTGTACCTCCCTCAAGGATACAGATCAATTCTTGAATTTGATTCCTCTCAAGTGAGTCTTTTTTTTCTTCTTTTCCACTATTTCTATTAACTACTTTGATTCATATACAGTAAATTTGCGCTTCCAAAATGATTGCGAGATGATTGAAGGGTAGCCCTTGGGCTATGTATGGAGGACCCAATCACCATCACCATTGCAACCTACCACCACAAAGACCTCATCCAACAAGAACTTGCCTCCCACCAAGACCAAGGCAATTCCAGTGTCTGTCAAGGGCACTGCGTCCAGGTCAAGGCCTCCTATGACCGGTATGCGGCAGCAAATACTCAATTTTCTGCCAGAAGGGACCAATCAAAAAATATGGACTGGACCAATGCTCAGAGGATAATTGTTGAGTAGTCCTCAACATTGCAGATCTCTGTACCAAGGTATGTGGATCAAGACTTATGTTTAGTTTTACCTATTGGTGATTTTTCTGGGGGTGCTCTTGTTATGTATGAATAAGGGCTTGTTTTTGAGTTGTGTTCTGGGGATTTTGTTATATTCTGCTCTGAAGAGACTACTCACTTTGACCTTGATTATCAAGGGTAAAGAGCTTCCTTTGTTTTACATACAGATAGTTAGTTTAGACCTTGGGTTAATGACAGATGATTGTGAGGAAAATCCATTCTTCAATTAATACTATATAATTTCAGCTAGAGTTTTCTTTGTTTTATTGACTTTTAGGAGGCGCACAAACATACAACAGCCATCTGTTTATATGTGTTTGTGGGTCCATATTGGGTTTGTTTATGCTTTTTTTTCAGTCTATGCTTTAACTCTCTTTCTTTCTGGCTATGATTTGCTGTTTACTCTCCTCTTTCAGTTGTTGCTGTTATTATCTTGTCTTATTAAAATGACTAGAATGACACATTGTACTAAGACAAAGGGAAACATTTCTTCCAAAAGAATCCCCAAAAATCCATCCAAAAGTCCATTTCCTCCACTGTCAACTCAGCCCCCTGCAAGGAAAAAGGTATTCACCTTTTTATGTTTGGGTTTATATTTTAGTATTTTATTGCACCTACTGGTACTAGCAGATCTTAAGGGATGTCAAAAGAAGATGAAAACCTCCTTAAGACTCTTTTGGACAAAAAGAAAGCAGCTGAAGCCAGTATAAAGGCAGCTAAAAATAGTACATACACTTTGCGCACCACATTTAGGCCAAATATTGCAACAGTTTTTGGAGTCAGTGTATATTTTTCTTTCCAAGACCAATAACTAATGGCTCTCAAATAAAAAGAAGACATATATCAGACCCCTTTAGTTATCGGGAGGAAGATCAAGAACAGGATGAAGATAAATATCCTCCTACAAATATGATAAATGATATCCTAGGTGATATATCTGACAACCATGTTCAGCCTATCAGCTCTCATCCAAACACTGAAGAAGACAATGGAACCCCTCTGGATCAAGATAGCAATCATGGTAGAGCCAACTCCCAGTCTTTGAATAATAACATTGTAAGTATTCTTTCTCCTTCATTTCAGACTTGCTTATACTATATTTTTATAAGGTTGTTCAAAGTTCAACAACAACTAATTCCAACTTAGGATCAACTTTACACTTGTCATATAGTTCTAGTCCTAGCATTTTATGTCTCTCCATCAAACTATTGTCCTATAAGGCTAAGCTAAGTTCTATAGCTTGCTCAACTTTGAAATATATTGCTAGTCTTGATTACAAAGCTATAAGGACATACACCATCACTCAAAATGGCTTTCCAAACCCTCTTAACCGCCAATCTATCTGCTGGGACTTATTAACTAAAGCTACCAGTGAAGACAAAGCTGCTGCCTCCTTGGCCGACAAAATGAAGATTTTACAGGATGACCAAGACTTGAAAAAAGCTCAAGTATTGGAATATGTGAGTACAAGAAAATGTATATTAACCATCCAATTAGAACAGGTTTGGAAGGGTTGCACGCAGGTTACAGTAAAGCTTGTTTTTTTGGCCAGATTAGGTGTTCCTCTTACATACCAAATCAGTTCCACAACAGGGAATAGCTAGGAGATTTTATTCCATGGATGATCAACTCTGGTGCATTGATCAATGCATGTATATACTTTAAGGTATGTTTTTTGTCCTCATAAAAACATATACAGTGTGATTTGTTATATAGGATAAAACATCTGATATTACGCAATCATGGAAAAACAACATCTTCAAAATGCTCTTTCAAAGTCAGTGGTGGGGACCTAAAGGTGTTACAATTAACATACCAGCACCTACTTACGCTTCACTTTTTTGTACTTTTGCTTTTCATTTTCCAAGTCACATGATCAGTCATGTGACCATTTACTTTACTTTACATTTTCATCGGACTTTAAACTTTATTTACAACTGTACAGTACCTCATGTATTTTAGTATATATACAGGAGCAATACATGGGGAAGGACTCAGCGAGTCCTTCTGTTGTCTAGCACAACAAACTTGTTGAAACCTGAGGGGTGATCCCTCCTTTCTCTCTTCTCTTTTGCTTGTCCATGTTGTGTGCCAAAGCAAAAAACTCTTGGTCGTTACAAAAGGTAAAGGAAGAAAATATGGTAAGAAAGAATATCTCCATAACACCTCTGCACTTGCCCTGATAGCATGCTCTGTAAGGTTTTTCTTACTCTTTTATTCACAAATTTAATTATATATTTAGGTTGAATGTGCTTTACTTGGCACTATCGACAATAAAATGGTAGAATTCTCTGAGAATTCATTTGCTCCAAGGTATGTACCATTTGTTTTCTGGTTATTTTATATATTTGCCTCATTTAATTCATTGTCGGGAGTACTATATGAATCAAATTCAAGAGTCAGGGAATGTTCCCCAACATATCTAGCAAGCATATTTGGTGATATTGAAGAGTTTATATGGTGAATTGTTTGCTCTATTTTTTGATTTTTTTCTCTCATATTTACAGGGTGGTTTTAGTACTTTGGCTTTTTCTGAATCCTCTCATCTCATATTTGACTATAATGCTTTAAAGGAGGCAGCCAGGGCTTTTAAGCAGTAATCTCATATACTTGTAGCTATCATTTGTATATTTTGCTTGATAAATTAACTGTTTTTATATTTTGAAAATGAGTGGAAGTAAAATGCTCTGGATTGATCTAGTTAGCTTTGAATGGTGTTTAGAGGAATTAGAGTCACTTACATCAATCTATTGCAAGGTCATATACAGCTGGGGTGACTTTGATATATTTGCCTTTTTATGCTATAGGCAACTTCTATATGCTATAAGCCTACACATTTTTGCATTGTGGTGCACTATAGCAAGGGACTTTGTAAGATTTGCAATTACAGATCTGAACTGATTTAAGTGATATTTTTGCTATAATAGCATATTTTTTTCCTTTTATTGCATTTATAGCCACATTATGTTTTCCTGATGTTGCAGATTGATTATTGCACAGGTGGATTGTTGGCAGTAAGTCTTGATTGAATAGTTCACTGATAAACATTCTTGCCCAGAGCAATTCCTTAGCGGCATGTGTTACGGCCACATACTTGGCCTTTGTTGTTGATAACGCAACAATTTTTTGTTGCTTCAAGTACCACGAGACAGCCCCACCATCAGGCATCATGGCATAGCCTGATATGGCCTACTTGGTCTTATTTATACTCCCATCTGTATTGGTGTATCCAATAAGTGGCTGTTCTTCCGGACCATATGCTAACTATAGCTCTCTGCTCCCTTTTAGGTACCAGATCCCTTTTTGCTACCTCCCAATAGGCTGGATCTGGATTGTCAACAAAACAAGAAAGGATTGTGATAATATGTGCAATGTCTGGGTGTATGCCAATCACTGCGTACATCTGTGATCCTACTGCCTCTCAATATGGGACAGTTCACATTTCTGCATAGTCTTTGGGTCTTTACTTAGGTAAGTGCTCGCAACCATTGGAATTGCTAACATTTGTGCATCTTCTAAGTTGAAGTGTTTTACAATAGTGTCAAAGTAGCTGCATTGTGATATGTATAAGGTGCGTGTGCTTTTGTCTCTTTTCACTTCTTTTCCTAACATCCAATGAAGCTCTTGTAGGTTGCTAACTTTGAAGAGTTTTCCTAGGTCAAATTTCAAGTATTTTATCTTGGTCATAGTTGGTGTGAAAAGAGTCATGTTATCTACATGAACTGTGATGATGGTGATTTTTCCTTTGTCACACCTATGGAATACTGCATGATCCATTTCACAGCAAATTGGGCCAATTTTCTGGAGTCTGTCACATAGGGTCTGATACTATCTGCAGCTGGCCTGCTTCAGGCCATAGAGTGTCTTGCTTAGGCATAGGACTTGGGTCTCTTTTCCAGGTGCATTGTAACTGGGTGGTTTCTCAATGTAAGTCCATGTTTCTGCCACCCAAAGCCTGTTTAATTTCTTATTGATTGCTTTTTCCCATTTTGGCCAATCTGTGCACTTTCAGGCCTCTTTAACTGTTCTGGGTTCAACACCTTCAAGGTCTGCCATTGCTGCTATCATAGCAACATTTGCTGCCAGTTCCCTCAAGTCATTGTCCTCCATATTTTCTCCATCAGGTTCATTGCCTGCTGCTGGTATCTGCAAACTCTTAGGTAAGGCTCTATTATTGGATTCAGACACCTTCTCCTCTTAACAGGTCACAGACATTGGTCTGGTTGGCGGATGTGTGTGCTTCAATGCACTTGAGGTTCAGCTGGTGGGGCAGGAGCAGGGTCTTGTGGGGGTTCTGCATTTTGGGCTGGTTCAGCCTGTTTATCAGGTTCTAGGTTTATATCATAGATATTTTACTATTCTCCCCCTCAAGATCAGAAGACACATCTCTGGGTAAGAAACCAATCCAAGAACCAACTTTGGTGTGGCTTCCAAGCTTTGAGCCTGTAGCATCATGGACTAGCACCTTGCAGCCCCATTTGTGCAGGCCATGAGTCTCACATGTCTTGTTGTCCGTGAAGGCAACATAGTAACATTTTCCACCCAATGTCTTGACTAACACAGATCCCCATAGATTGGTGTGGATCTCCTGGCCACACTCCTATGCATGCTTACCCAGTTTTACTTTAGGAATTGTCTCATGTTTGCCCTTTACGCAAACATAAATTTCACAGAGGGTATTTGTTTCCCCATTCTCCATGACAGTGACAGGTGACAATGACTGGATAAGGAAATGTAGTCCAATAAGTAGAAAGGAAAATGTTTGAAGGAAAATGAGAGGTTGTAGGAATTTGTAGCAGATACTGGTATTGGCCTTTTTGCTGTGTCATAGAGGTGCTTGACACAGCCTTGTCAGCAAGGGCCCATTTGAGGCAAGTTTTGTGTCCATAGTGGTTTGCAGTTTTTCATTCCAGTACGCTCCAGGACTGTGTCAATGTATTGGTGTTGTAATAGGGAGATTGTTTTGTTTGAACAATCACGTCAGATTTCTATTCCAAGGATGTATTTGCTTCTCTGAGGTTCCGCACTTTGAATATGGATTCAAGTTTGGCTTTTGTGATATCCATGAATGTTTGGGATGAAGCTCCTAGGAGGAGGTCATCTACATAGCCAACAATAAAGCATATTTGTTTGTTGTTCTAGAGTACTTAGACATGTCTCTGCATTTAGTCTCGTAAAAACAAGCTCCCGGAGCTTGCAATCAAAGGTTTTATTCCATGTACAATAAGCTTGTCTTAATCAATAGATAGATTTCTTCAACTTCCAGCAGTATCCAGGTTGGATAGGAACACCCCCTAGAGGAAGCATATACAGTTCTTCTTCAAGTTTTCCATTGCAATAAGCTGTGGATACGTTCTTCTAGGTCATACTTTGCTGCCAGGGATAGAATAATTCAGATTGACTCTAAGTTTGTAACTGGAGCAAAAACATCCTGGTAATCAATCCCCTCCCTTTGAGTAAACCTCCATGCAACAATCCAGAGTTTGTATCTCTCAATGTTTCCGTTTTGATCAAACTTAATCCAGAACACAGGTTTTGATGTGATAGGTTTCACTCCCTTTGGAAGTGGGACAGTGTCATATACTGCATTATTATTGAGGCTTAGGAGTTCCTCCTCCAAGGCAAACTTTCATAATTCTCCATCTGGGTGTAATAAGGCTTCCTTTAGTGTCCTTGAAAGGTCTGTATTAGATGGACCAGTGCTTGCTATTCCAGCAAAGAATGTCTCCTCTGTGTTGGATGTTTCTTCAGGAACCTCAGGAGCATTAGGTTTCTCCATGAAAATGTTGTGCCGCTCTTTCTGAGACTGTTTCTTATCTAGAGTCCTTTTTGTCTGCAGGACAAGGATGGCAACTGCTTCTGCGTGCTCCAAGGACTTCAGCAGATATAACTGCTCTTTGAGGAATTTGTGCAGGAACTCCAGGGAGCAGATGCACTTGTGTGTGAGTTACCCCACTCACTCCTGAAGGTGTTGAATGTCTCCTCAAAGGTGTGTATACCTTCCAGAAGCTGATCCAATGGACGCACTGTCCAGTTGTATAACTTCCTCCACATCAGCTGGTTGTATGTTGAGGAGCTGTGCTCCCACTGATTGTGACTCTACTTTGGGTTTCTGTTCCAAAGATGGCCAGTGTTCAGGTCTTGGTTCTAGAGACTGTTGTTGAGGGTGTTTTAGCTGCTCAAGTGCTCCCACTGCTCTCAGAACATCTTCATGGAGATATTGCCCCACTGCTCTTGTAATATTTTGATGCTGATATGGTTCTATTGCTTGCAGAACATTTTCTTGGAGATGTGGTTCTATTTGCAATTCATTGGGATCCTGGATCCGAGGGTCAGGGTCTGATAAAATTGGATAATGACCAGACCAGGGATTGAACCTGGAACCTTCTGGATACATGCCAGCTGCTCTACCAATTGAGCTATATGGCCAAGGTTATACAATGTAGGATCTTAAACATAACATGCAACCATGGACGTCTTACACAGAATAGCTGCTGTATACTGGGCTGGCTTACAAATCAGAGGTATTATCCTATGGGGTATTGGTATGTCAGAGTATATTCTAACAGGATCATCATCCTCCATTGTATTTTGGTCCGGATAGTGAACATTCTCTGGAATAAGTCCCCTCCACTGATTTGTGCCAGGGTCTGTGTTCCAGGGAGCAGTGTCGTCCTTTTATACCTTTCCGGAGTCATTAAATATAACATGCCAACTGGAAAACACAGTTCATTTTACGATGTCTAGGAGCTTATAGGCTTGCTTCCCATGTGTGTAGCCAATCATTATGGCTTTGTGCCCCTTGGAGTAGAATCTTTCTTGCCATTTGTCTTTAGAAATCAAGGCATATCCTTGGCATCCAAAAGGGCGAAATAAAGTGGGATCAACTCTCCTTTTAAACAGTATTTTGTATGGGGTCTTTTCATGGAGTCCTGATGCTGAGCTGTGTGCTGTGATATATGCAGCTGTTTGCATGGCATCTACCCAGAATGACTTTAAGAGCTTGTCATCATGGAGCATAGTGGTTGCTAATGTAGCCAATGTCTTTGTTCTGGAGTATTCTGCAGCTGCATTTTTTTGGAGGACACCATCTCCTTGGAGTTGATTTTTGAATGCAGTGGAGTGATGTTTTCTTCTCCTAAGTTTGGCAGAATGTGTGGACATCTTCTTTCTATTGCTTGTATCGTTCCAGTGCTTCACTTTTGTGTTTTAGGAAATATATCCATGGAAATCTGGAGAAATTGTCTACAATGATAATCCAGTATTGGAAACCCTCTCTGGAGGTTGGTTTAATTGGTATATCCCAAAACAATGATCAAGTACAAGATGGCCATGACCAGGGTCCAAATAACGCCTGTCATTCCACGCCAACACAGAGGAACACATCTACTCTGGTTGCATTTCTCTTCACTCTGAGAATTGGGTGCCCAGTGGGACTTTTTCAAAACATAACCCCTTAACCCTGGGGACCGGGTTTGCACACAGTGCGAGAGAGTAGTGAGAGCGAGTCCTAATGTAATAACCAAGAGTTTGTTACTCTGGCGCACAACTCAGACAAGCATAAGAGAAGAGAGAAGGAGGGATCACCCCTCAGGTTTCAAGGGTTTGTTGTGCTAGACAACAGGAGGACTCGCTGAGTCCTTCCCCATGTATTGCTCCTGTATATATACTAAAATACATGAGGTACTATACAGTTGTAAATAAAGTTCAAAGTCTGATGTCTAGTATGTGACCGGTCACATGATGAGTCTAGACACTGGTCAGGTGTTGTGTCACATGACTTGGTCATGTGACTATGGAAAGTTGAAAATGTAAAGTAAAGTAAATGGTCACATGACCAGTCATGTGACTTGGAAAAATAAAAGTAAAAGTACGAAAAAGTAAGTGTAAGTAGGTACTGGTACGTCAATTGTAACATATACCTCTTCCCAGCGAAGTATGTAAAAAGTATTCGTAGTAAACCCTGATCCGAACGGTTGTCAGGGGGTGGCCCGCTTGTTAAGCTGTCAGCCCTTCTCCAGACTGGCGGAGGCAAGTGCCTGGCCTGGTCAGAGGAAAGAGAAAAAGAAGTTTTGTATGTAAATTCTAATCAACAATAGTTCCACACTATTGCTGAGCTAAAGTACTCCCCTTCACGCTGGGGGCCGCGTATCAAGATTATTGTTTCTTCTCCCAAATCACTACAAGGCCATCACTAGGAGCGCACCTATCTGCTATGCGGGATATTCCCAAACAAATAATACTATCCCCTTAACCCTGGGGTCCGGGTTTGCACAATGTGCGAGAGAGTAGTGAGAGCGAGTCCTAATGTAACAACCAAGAGTTTGTTACTCTGGCGCACAACTCAGACAAGCTATAGAGATAATGGTGAGGGAGTGGTTACCCTTTAGGCTTCAACAAGTTAGTTGTGAGGATACAACAGGAGGACTCGCTGAGGAGTCTCCTGGATCTATTGAGGTATATATACTACTATAGGTTGTTTGTACATGTTGTACTATACAGTTGATAAAGCAGTGCTGATAATGTCAGAGAGCACAGCCCATGTGACCAGCTCCACTGCATGAGAGACTTGTAGCTCAAAATGAGAATAAAGGCAGTGTAGCATGAGAAGGTGGAGTTTGAACAAAATGGAAAGTGCCGCATGGCACAGTGTGTGAAAACTACCGAAGAAAGTTAAAGAGGAGAATGAAATTTAAAGGTCCAAAATTTGTGTATTGTAACACTCGCTTACTCAAAAAAACTCTATCCTTTCATTGCTTGATGCTGGCTACTCTGGTGAAGCCATTGCCAAGCAGACCGGTGTTAGCCCTTCTACTATATCCAAACTTTGCTCCAAATAGGTTTTACCCTACCTAAAGTTATTGGAGGTCATCCTTCCAAGCTTTCACCTACCAATATCCAACATGCCCAACGTCTTATTACCTCTAGCAAAGCTGAAAATGCTGTTGAAGTGACCAAAGCCCTTACCAGCATCATCAACCAGCCCCTCTCATCCAATACTATTTGGTCTTATTTGAAAAAATTTGGTATGAAGGCTGTGGTGAAGTCCAAACACCCCCTGTTACAATTGACATACCAGCACCCACTTACATTTCTCTTTTCATACTTTTACTTTTACTTTTCCAAGTCACGTGACTGGTCATGTGACCATTTACTTTACTTTTCATTTTCGGACCTTTCCTTTAAATTTCATTCTCCGCTTTAACCTTGTACTGTAGTTCTCACACTGTGCCATGTGGCACTTCCCCTTTTAGTTCAAACTCCACTTTTCTCGCACAGCGCTGCCTTTATTCTTATTTTAGCTACAAGTATCTCACGCAGTGGTGCTGGTCACACGGGCTAGGCCCCATGACATCAGCAGCCACTGCCTCTAGCAACTGTACAGTATATATGTACAAACAAACCTGTATTAGGATATAAACCCCAATAGATCTTGGGGAAGGACTTAGCAAGCCCTCCTGTTGTCTACCAACAACTAACTTGTTCCTACCAAATGGGTAACTACTCCCACCTCTTCCTCTACTTCTGAGTGTTGTTTTCATTGTGCTCCAGTGCCCCAAAACTGTGTCTTGTTGGTGTTGTCACACCCCCTTCTCTCTACTAGGCAATGCAAAGCTCATTTGGATTTTTCCTATGCCCACAAGGATTGGACTTTGGAGGACTGGAAAAGAGTAATATGGTCTGATGAGACTAAAATCAATTGCCTAGGGTCAGATGGACGCAAATGGGCATGGAAAAGGGCAGGTGAGGGGCTTAGTGATAGGCTGGTAGATGGAACCCTCAAATTTGGAGGAGGTTCCTTAATGATGTGGGGCTGTATGACTTGGAAAGGAGTTGGATTTGCTACCAAGGTTGATGGTAGGATAGATGGGAACATTTACCTACAGATTTTGAAGGATGAGTTCTAGCTAACCCTGGAGCATTATGGTCTCAATCCTTCTGACATCATTTTTTGGCAAGACAATACACAGTCTCCTGACCTAAACCCTATTAAACATCTCTGGGTTATCTCAAAAGGAGGCTTTCAGGATATGAAACCCCCCCCCAATGGGATTCATGAATTGTGGGAAAGGACTTAAGTGGAGTGGGAGAAAATACCAGTTAAGGAGTGTCAGAAATTGATTGAAAGCATGCCTAGAAGGATTCAGGCAGTGCTTGGTGTAACGACCAAGATATACTCTGGCGCACACAGGAACACAGTATAGAGAAAGATGATGAGGGAGTGGTTACCCCTTAATATGCAGTGAGTTAGTTGGTATACAACAGGAGGACTCGCTAAGGAGTCTCCTGGATCTATTGGGGTTTATATACTACTACAGGTTGTTTGTACATGTGTATTATACAGTTGATAGATATAGTGGTTGATGATGTCGTGGGGCCTAGCCTGTATGACCAGCTCCACTGTGTGAGAGAGTTATGTCCAAAATAAGAAGAAAGGCAACGCGGTGCGGGAAGGGGAAGTGCCGTGCGGTACCCTGTGTGAAAGCTATAGTACAAGGTTAAAGCGGAGAATAAAAGTAAAGGGAAAGTCCGAAAATTGTGTTATCGTAACACTTGGGGCAAAAGGAGGCTATACCAAGTACTGATAATATCCAAATACCCTTTTCAATTCAAAAGTGAAAAAACCCTTTCCATGGTGTTGCTGTTTTAAATTAACCATATCTCTATAGTATGTGAACCAGATCACATGACCTATGGGGCAATTTTATAGCCAAGAGTATGTACTACTTATAAGTCCACCAAAGCTAAGTGTAATACTCAAGCTGTTTGATGGTATGCTTCATGCATAACACCCAGAGTAAACATGGAAAGGGTTTTTGGAGTCACTGTACTTCTACAGCAAACAAAACCATTGTAAATGGACAAAAAATGGTTCAACATTGATCTCATAACACCAATAAGCTATACAGTGAATATATAAGTAAGGCCAGCATAGGGCAAAGCAGCAAAACTCACCCATCATGGCCTCTCAACCTGTAAATCTTTATCTCAATGACCCATGAAATGTGCCGCAGATGCTAGGGGGGTATCAAGTGCCTCAGGCTCATTGTTATCCCGGCTATCCTGCAATGGCAATCAGATATCCAGATCATCACTTTGCCATGCAGTATGGCCATCCAGGTGTACAGCCGGTAGTTCACCCAAGCATGCAAAGCATACACATGCAGCATCTATACGGGCATCCACAGATGCCCACATTGCCCATGGGGCCTCCACCAACATATGCAGTGGTTGCTGAACCAGCATCACAGAGACATCAGCCTTGTAGTCCATCACCAGCAGATAAACCACACCCAGCAACGGCACCATCCAAGGCTTGCCTAAATGCTGAGCCTCAACCTGGAGGTAAACTAGTCAGTTATCCTTTGATAGGCTCATTTGCTGACCTACCTATGTAATCAAGTGTTTGTATTCATGACCAACATTGTGAGTGGCAATGCAAAAAGGGGAAATGAGGCTGTTACAGACATGCTGTGGGTTGACTTCCAGCAGCGCATGTTTGAAATGATGGATGGGCCCCATGGTGATGCACAGCTTGTGTACAGGATATCAGGTGATACCGGTAAGCAGTCCCACATAAATAATCATTGGGACTTCAAGTTGGCAATGGACCAACTGTTGAGCAAGGTACAAAGTGCTCGCACTCGAGCAGTTACCCTGGAAATAAAAAAACCATGTCACAATGTCTGTTTGTGAAATTACATAGGGCACTCATCAAGTTCTTCTATAGACTCCACTGGTGACTGCTACTGCTGCCGCAAAAAAGAAACGGGCTCACAAAGATGATGTACCACCCGTTCCAGATCCTGAGTCAAATAGGCAGCTCAAGGCTTTCAAGCAGCTTGAGCAAGCTATTAGGTGCAAGTCCCACCATGGACACTGTGTCATTGACCAAACACACGGCCGTGACAACCACCAATGTTTAAATCATCAAGAGATAACCTTGTGGACTAAGATAATTGTTAGTACTTTTTTTTGTCCAAAAAATAGGTTACTTATTGTTCATGTATAGTCTCTTGGGCAAGCCACAATATTCTCTCTGCCCCATTGCCTCAATTTTGAAAGTGGGCACCCCCAACATCCATATCACTATCAAAAATATCACTCCAAGCTCTGAAACAGGATCAAGCAGCCATTCAACAAGCTACCATACAACAGCAAGTCCAGCACAAATCAAATCACTGAGCCCTCCTCCGAGTACTCAGCCAGAACATCAGCAGTCAGCATGCTTGCCTTGGGAACAAGAGGTGTTGCCATATCTGGCAATAGACAGTTTGATTAGGCTTCTAGAAAACAAGATGCCAGAGCAAAGATTCAATGGCATCCTGGACGAGCTCTCGCTTGCCAGGTTCCTTACCATTAACCAGCTTCTCATTTTACCGGTTGAAGCTCTGAGAACAGTGGGGGACATGGGTATAGAAAAGGCCAGTATTTTGAGGTCCTATGCAAAGTGATGCATTATGCCAGTTTTCAGATTGAAAGGTGAGGGGAATGAAATGGCCATCAATCTTGACGAGGTTGAAAGCGAGGCCAGAGATGATATTGAGATCAAATATGAGGACAGTGCTGAGGTAATTGAGATAGAAGACGAGGTTTCCGGTTGGGGAGAATATGAGGATGAGTACGGGAGCACTTCAGATGTGAGTGACTTGTGATAACAAGCAACCTGCAAAGGATAAGTGAGATACTACTACAGTAGAACTGACCTTTTAAATATTGCTAGCTAATTTTTTCCTTCTAGAATAGTAGATAGTCGGAAGTATGCCTGCTTTAATTATGCAATGTACTCGCTGTGTCTAAACCAGCCATAAACCTTCTCTAGTGTGATTGTTGAATAAATAGCCTGTTGGAATTGTCAAGGTCAAAGCCTGGGCCTTGTTAGACAACATTGTGCAATTGAGTGTTGATATCCAAGGGCTGGTAGCTCAGTTGGTTAAAGCACCGCCATATATAGGCAAGAGGTCCTGGGTTCAATCCTCTGCTGGTCCAATTTGCTTTTCTGTACTCTCTGAGTCCACTGTGGATTATTACACGGCCTGCCAGTTCAAAGCATATGGGTTGCACAAGGGGCCTTTGGTTTCCCTATGTGGTCACAGTTATTCTGCAGCCAGGCCTTGACTGCCAAAAACACTTCTTCTATGGGTTGAGGTCTGGTGAGTAGGATGGCAGATACAATAGATGCATTCCCCTGGTACATAGTGTTACAATTGGCATACCAGCACCTACTTACACTTCACTTTTTGTACTTTTACTTTTCATTTTCCAAGTCACATGACTGATCATGTGACCATTTACTTTACTTTACATTTTCGGACTTTTCATAGCCACATGCTAGACATCAGACTTTAAACTTTATTAACGACTGTACAGTACTTCATGTATTTTAGTATATATACTGGAGCAATACATGGGGAGAGACTCAGCAAGTCCTCTTCTAGTGTATACAAGTCCTCTTCTAGTGTATACCTACATTAGTATGACAAGTTCCCTCCTTTGATAGGTTGTACACTTCCCTTTCCTCCACTGAGTTGTTGTTGTGGTTGTGCTCCAGTGCCCCAAGACTGTGTCTTGTTGGTGTTGTCACATATAACATGTCCGTAAGGAATGAATTTAAGCAAAATGTGCTTACCGCTCTTCCACAAGTTCCCAGATTCCAAGGATCTTATGGATCATGCAGGTTTTTGTCACTCCAAGCATATCTCAACAGAGGAGCAGCTTGTTATCTTTCTCTGAATGTGTTGCACCGGTGGAACAAATAGGGATATGCAGGTGAGGTTTCAGCATAGTGCTGATACAATTTCAAAGTATGGATGTGTTTATCCTTCAATATCATTCACTGAGTATCAAACCTTGTTACTTATAGGATCTTTCACTGTATGCTCAATATGGTGGTTTCTCCTGCCTTTTACCGGAAATACATCAATCTCCCCCCTAATGAGGAGGTCCCTCCTGAAATCTGAGATGAGCCCAAGTTCTATCCCTTTTTTAAATCAGTGTCATGGTGCTATAGATGGTAGCCATATCTATATCTTTGTTCCTGATGATGCTCTTACTGGATGCTATCATAATTGGAAGGGTCAACTCTCTCAAAATATCCTTGCTGCTTGCACCTTTGACATGCACTTTTCATATGTCCTGTCTGGCTGGGAGGGCAGTGCTGCTGATAGCCGTGTGTACAACAATGCTCAGAGCAATGGCTTTATGATTCCTCCAAGTCTATATTATCTTGCAGATGCAGGCTTTCCCTCATGTGATTCTCTTTTGGTCCCCTACTGTGGAGTACAATACTATTTGAAGGAATGGGGTAGAGCTTCACAAAGGTTTTTATTTCTTTCACTTTGATATCTCAGCTCATACTTGTTATCTTTCAGGCCCAAAGACTTCAAGGAGCTTTTCAATTTACGACATGCTCAAGCTCGTAATGTTATTGGGCACATCTTTGTGGTGGTCAAGAGACACTTTCAACTAATGGTTGCAGCTCCAGAGTATGCTTTGGAGGTACAAGCCAAGCTTATTCCTGCACTTTGCGTTCTTCACAACTTCATACAACTTCATGATCCTGATGATAGTAACAATGAAGAAGGGACAGCATAGGTGGTGGACAGAATAATCAAGCTATGCGGCAGGATCAAAGGGATCATAGTCATGTTATCACACCTTAGGAAAAGGAGAGGGCAGTACTGAAACGTGATATAATTGCAAAGGCAATGTGGGAACAGTATATCACATATACTCAAACTGGAAACTAGTAATAGTAAAGCTATTTTAACTACATGCTATCAATCTCAAGGTGGATGTGGTTGGATAAAAGGACATCATCAGAGATAGCAGAATATGTATCAGCAATAGCAGTATTCTTGGTGAATAGTGCAATTGCTTGTGTGCGCTCAGCAGTGGCTAATGCATCATCAACACAAACAGCCTTGATTGCAGCAATTCTCCTCTTGGTTGTGCTGGGGACATCACCAATAAGCTGGGAAATACTAGGGCCAAGACAACTGAGCGATCACCTTGGTACGAAGGTGCTTTGATGCAGATGCAGGAGTGGGTGATCCAGAAGCTGCACATTTGCATTTTGAGCTCTGAGACACTTCAATAGAATCCTAGAAGAGTGAATAGTTGTAAGGACCATTTTATTATTTTCTTATCTTCGCTATGTCTTGGTTCTCGAACGCTTTTCCCATTACACCTCTGGCTCTAGGGCTAGAGGTATCATTTGCCGTTTTACTTCTCATAGCCCTCACAGGCTTTCTTAACCATCGCTACCATTTTATATCACAGATCAGAGACTGGGTATCGCTCCCAGCCAGCCAGCACACTGGGTAGGGACTGGTAGTAGGCATCTCGCCAACCAGCTCCAAGCCCCAGTAAAGCCTGGACACACTAATAAACGCCTTATTCAGGATCATACCTCATCATGAGGATACGGTTCCCGAACACGCGTAACAAATCTCTATTATTAGTACAAATCTCTCGCTGCTGATTAATCAAGTTAAAAGTCGTACGATAGTTGTTCTCCCTTTTTCTTATTGGCTGATTAATTCCTCAGACCACTTTTTGTATATTCTCCTTTCGGTCTGAGGAACGAACAGTTCACTATATAAAGCCTTACCTATTCATGTATGGCTCCTTAGTTTTCTATTACTGAATTTACCCGCTTTACTCCTCAACGAAAACCTTTGAAGCTTACCTCTCAAAGTCCTCTACTTGCTATATTTACTAGCGTCTGTCGACCTCAAGCTCATCGAACCCCTTACTCCCTGCAAGTGCAGAAGGAGACAGGTTCCATTTTTGTTATAGTTTATTGTTGCCTCACAACAGTGAAGTAAAGTCAACATCAAGCCATGTCACATACCTGAGACTTTTTTTCCCCATCCAAGTCTAAATCACTCTCTGGATGACCACCCACTGTGCCCACATCATGGCCTGGTGCTTTACCAACTAAGCTACCAAGGTGTACTTGGAAAGCATACTGATTGGTTGCATGCCCAGAAGGTCCAGAATCACTGTACACGGGTGCGGATCCCATTGTGTTGTGATATCTCCCAGACACTTCTGGTTCTTCCCGAAAATATACACTCCACTGAAGTCCGCCTGCACGCTAACTCATTGGATAGGTTTATTGTTATGAAATCAGCTGTAGTAAGTTACCCTTTTGCAAAGGTTTACCCGGTTTAGCGCAGCTCCTCCTTGACTTCTTGGTTGTGCTGGTTCTCTGCCTCGCTGATAGTACTGTACCGGCTTGTCTTTGGCAGAATGTTCCAGTATGTTCGCATTGAAGCTATTTATTTCATAGAATTAAAGAGGGGACCAATATCTTTCTGTTCATATTTTTTTGTCTTATTAGATAATGAATTGAGAGCGCCATAGTCAAAGACAAAATATATTTGAAACACTCCCCCCAACTAATAGTGAATGTCATGGATAGATAGTTTGAGTTCAAACATTTGCACTGCTGCTGCAATTACGGCGGGTATCTACTCTATACACGATGTCGACTAAGATATATGGTGCTCGCTAGCAAAATGTCCAGCTTGAAAAGAACAATCGGCATGGTCTAGTCATCCTTTAGTTACTGACCAGGACTATGCTCGAGTTTCCATTCTGCTTCTGTCCTAGTCTATCAAGAGCTTTTTTCTGCTGCTGCTTGCGAATGTTGTATAGAACGTTTACTGTGTGTTCCATATTTGGGTCCTGCTCAAGACGTTGTATCTCCCGTTTTATACTAATCTCCTGTCAGTGTAACTCTCCAGGGCATGCCATGGGCACAAAGACGCACGACGTTGGTCCTCTTAAAACCACTGGACAGTCTTTAATCAGTGGGGAGTCTGGAAACACAAAGGACAGTTCGGTACCGTTGTAGTTTGTCTGATTTTCTTAGAAGAGCCTTCAGCAGCGAGCGACGGAGATGGCGCTCGTTTTAAGGGAAATGTCCTAGTGGAGGCAGACGCGTCGTGCTTGGTCTTGCCTTTCACTGGGCGTGACTTAGATTTTTCGACCTTTCGAGCCTTTCCTTTATCACTCATATCTAATACCTGGTAATGACGTTGCATGTCCAGAGGTCGCGGATGAGGTCGGCTTTTCGGCTTTGGAACCGAGGGCATGGGGGAGGATGCTTTCTTTGATTTATCTTCTTTAGATGGTCTTTCTTCTAGAAGGTGTAGAGGCTGTCCGAAGATCAAATGGATGTGCCCTCTTTTACTGAGAGTTTCATCGATTAAGCGGATTGCTGAGGCCTATTATTTCAATGTCAATACATGCTAATTCAAAAAGACGACATAAATATTGACCCGTTCTTCTGGAGGCTCGTCTCCACCGTGTTTCAACAAGATTGCACGGTATTCTGCAAGGTTCTCTGAACGTTCGGTCATTAGACAAGAACCACTTCCGTGAGCTAGACCGCACAAGCCGCAGCTCTCAATATCATATTCCTTCATATTTGAATTTGTCGGTGCCTGTGGGGCTGAAGACACAGATACATAGGTGTTGGATGGGCGGTATCGAGCAGTAACACTGGATGAATCAGGTCCATTAAGGTCCAAGGGCTGTGGCCGCTGGGCTTTGGGCTGCAACATCTGATCCTCGGTAGCCATCACATTTTGGATGATGCCTTCATCGCCTATAGATAAGTGAGAAGAGACAGAGCTATCTTTGTCGGTCTGCATAGGCGATCCAGGATAGGCATCCGATTCACCAGACGTCACAGATTTTGATTTACGTTTCTTAGTCTTGCCTGGTGTATCGTCAAAATCGAAATCGAAAGTTTGTTGCTGTATAATAATTGAACATTCCATACTACAATGACTTGTATGAGTGGCAGCACACCTTATGCACGACGGCGGCAACGCGGCGACGAACGCCACGCCCTGTCGCCTCTTTAGCTTGGGCAACATCCCTCTCAGCTGCGACACGCTGTAACGTCTGTGCCCAGGAGTCTCTTTGATCGTTCTCAGGTGCATCGTCAAGTTCTTCTAAGGAATCTTTCTCTGCAGCCCAAACTTTGGCAAACGAGAATAGACCTGCATTCTTGGCTTGATCTGTTTGGTCACCTTCTTTTTCTGTTTTTTCTATCAGTTTCTCGATGTCGATGTCAGAATCTACACATAAAATTGATTGGTTCACATATCATATAGCTAAACAAAAATTACTTACAGACAATGTCACGAGAGGATTGATTGTCCTCTTCAAACAAAGCCTTCGCACCAAAAGTAAGAATGGACTGCACATCGTCCCCAGCGGAGTCGTCATCATCCATCTTCTGTACGATGAGATGATCAAGAACAAGCTTCTTCTTTCCAGTTTGCATGATACGATCTTTAACGGTCACCGTTTCAAGTTTGTACATCAATATTTCCAATTCAAAAATACCTTCAGCGGAGTCTTTGACCATGAGTCTAAATACCAGACACGTTTTCTGTTGACCGTAACGGTGTGAACGAGCTATAGCCTATGAAATATTAGTATACCTGTACGATAGATTTTGAACATGCAGCTGACTTACTTGCAGATCCTGTGTAGTAACTAAGCTCGGATATATAAATATTCAGCAAATCATACTGACTTGGTGCGGATTGAAATCAGGATCGAATATAATCACAGTATCAGCACTCCATAGGTTGATGCCGACTCCACCAGCGCGCGTGGTTAGAAGGTAGATAAAGACGTCGGAATTAGGCCGATTGAACTCATCCATCCCCTTCTGCCTGTCAACTTGCTTGGTATTACCATCCTGATTGGCACATTTGTCAGTAGTCGAGAGTAAAAAACGCACAAAATATATTTACAAGTCTGAGGAATTTGAAACCTTCACCTTGAAGGTAGTCTTCTACAATATCGAGAGCAATGACAAACTGGGACAAATTATTTTAATTCTGCTCAGGGGTAGACTTGACGTGTAAACTGACCTGGCTGAATAATAAAACCCGATGGCCACGAGCTTTAAGCTTCGGAAGCAATGTCCTTAATAAACGCAATTTCCCGCTGGCGTCTATGAGCTTCTCATGAGTCTCTTGAGGCGGCAAGCCACGGGGCTCAATATCCTCATTAACAAGATATGGATGTTGCAGGCATCTGAAGTAGTATAAATTACTACTGCGGCTACTGAGCCGATAATGTACATACTTGCGTAGTTGCATGAGAATATTGTTGATATTGGTTTTGGTAGTTGTTGTGCTGACTTTCGATTTTGATGGTTGTGCAAAGCTATTCAGAATACTCAAGTTTTGGCCTATTGATAGTTTAGCATATTTTAGTAACTGGATTTTATACAGAAAACATACTTAAGATTGACCGATAAAGCTCCTTTTGCAAAGGTGCCATAGACACAGGTACAATGACTTCGTTCTAGCAGAGCAAACAAGATCAACATTATCCCTGTCTCGAAGCTATTTCGAATACCTTCGGAGGCAGTTGTAAAACTTCACTCTTGATACGCCGTAGAAAGTATGACCTTAACCTGTTGTGTAGCTGTTTGATTAAATCCTCATTTAGCTCTTGGTATTCTTTTTCTAGACGTTCCAAATCGTTCCAGTCTTGCGGATCCAGGAAGTTCATCAAATTAAATAGTTCTCGCATATTGTTGTTGAGAGGGGTCTGTGCACCCAGATCAGCAAATAAATGTATAAAGGACTCTGCACATACACCTGTCATAATAATACGATGGATTGTATTCAATTCTTTTAGTTTCTTGAACAAGAGACTGCTGTCGCTCTTGACTGTACAGCGACGGGATATCTGGTCAGCTCTTATGACCCTGAACAAATGCCGTCAATACTTACGACGCTGACCCTCATCAACTACTAATATTTCCCATCTGGGTATCGTTCTGAACACAGGAGCGAAATCTCTGTTGTTGGTTAGCGTCTCGTAAGTAGTAACCAGTACGTGATACTTGGCCCCAGTTGTTTCACGGGGCTTTCCGTTGTGATAAAGCTCGTATTGCTTAATCACATCTCTAGCTTTAGCCTCTCCATAGAATGGGACAACTCTAAGACGCGGTGCCCAACGCTCAAACTCCCGAACCCAGTTGGTTATGGTTGAATTCGGGACAACGACAAGAGCTGGCGACGCCTCAAATTTGCTCATGACGATGCCGAGAAAAGTTACTATCTGCACAGTTTTGCCCTGGTGATCGTTTTCAGCGATGTTTAGGCCAGTAAAGCGAGCAATGACATACCAAACCCATTTCATCAGCAAGTATGCAATGCTGAAGGTTCCACCAATTATCACAAAGCCAATTCACACCATCAACCTGAGACAACAATGAGACCAGCTTAAGAAAACACCTGGATAAAAATACCTGAAATGGCATGAGTTTAAGGGCGTTGCTCTGTCCAAGATCGGGCTGTACGTCGCCTCGTAGGGCATGGTTGTTTTTATACCCCCCCTTCGGACGATTATCAAATGTCTTCGCCTGTGAGGGCGTGAGCTTATTTACGTAAACATTACGAGAGTCGATATATCGCCGAAATGCGTTCTTGAAGGCGGCGTAGGTAGACTCGTTGGGACGAGGCGGAGAATCCCAAGTCGCTAGCGTCTAATTAGTAGGTGACAACATGACAGTCCAGCTGGTCGACAAACCTTCGTCGTATCCAAGATCACCCCATTTAATAAATGCCCACGCTACATTCTCGATATCCTCTATTTTGGCCTCAGCTTGATGAAGCCGGCGCAGATACTGGTCGACAGAATCCAAAAGATCATCATCCGGCTGTTCACCTTCATCATAAGCCTTGAGCCGTTGTATTTCTATTTCAGGAGCCTGAATATCATCTCCATCCTGTGTAATGTTTCTGAAATTTCCCGCTTTTTCCTGCTGAAATGATTTTTTCTGCTTTCCGGAATTCCAAAACCGTACATCTAAGATACGGTCAACCGTCTTCCAGGCCATAGGGATCCTACGCTCCGCATCAGGTACAGGATCCAGGGGTGAGACTGTTATCCTCATATCCTCGTTTCGAGTTTCGTCTGCGCCTATCTCAAAGGGAACTTCTTGTGTCTCCTTGGGAGGGACACATTCATCCGCAACATCCACATCCGTTGAGTGGTATTTCTCGTCGCAGATAGGCTCTTTAAGAAGCACCACCTTAGCACCACCGTTTACAAAGTTTTTCAACTTCATCCAATTTGTGGATACCAACCACATATGAGGCACCCACTGTGTTCGCTTGTAGCTCCTCTCCATCCACTTCACCAAATACTCCCTTGGTAACATACTTTTATAGTTGGGGGGATTATATGGCGGATGGGATGGTTCAGTGGCGGAAAGAGGGTAAGGTCGCCAGGCAAGGATCTTGTCCAAGTTAAACGTTAAAGAGGCACAATCGCCACATCGCCAGCCAGTATTGATTTGATAGTACTTTGCCAGCTGTACTCTGCGTAGCCCATCGCCCAGCATCTCCTCTGGTACGGGCAAATGCTGATAGTGAGCGAGACGCTTGCAGGAGAAACATCGATAGAATAACTCGTGTGCGAGTTTCTGATCAAGATCATTCTCAGGCTGGACAGAAACATCCGGCTCTAGAGCAACCTCCAGACAGCCCATGCAAATCCCACCCTTCATGCATGATCCGCAGATAAATTCTGTGATTTCATAAGCACTCAATCCTGTGCGCTTCCGGAATCCATCGTCAAGGGTAGTAGCACTGGCATCTATATTTCTCTGGAGATGAGAGCTCTTCCAAGCTGCTTTATCGCGAGCATGAGCAGCTTTTAAAATATCGTCCCGCTGTGTTTTTGCAAGGCACCGCCAGTGGGCAGTAACAGGACACTTGAGACTTTGTAGAAAATGACAAGTGAGACCAGGTTAAGGGAAAACTGAGTGTAGTTTACTCACCATCGAACCCAGCCACCTAGGCGGTTTATCTTTTCCTCCTTATCCTCGTTTTCGTTTTCGTCCTCGTCATCACCATTATCTTCACCCCACTTCTTAGACTTCTTGCAGCCCTTTACCGCTTTTCGTTGTGCTATTTCTAGCTGTAAATGCGCCGGTTTCTCGTGGCACTTCTCACATATATCTCTGTGGATCCTGAGGGGCAGCGTGTCATCGTCGGAGCATGGGTCATAGTCGATATCAGCAACGACACGAAAATGCCCATAAGCCGGGCGAGAATCTTTACCCCGGACGGTCTTCTTTCGTGCACTATTTTGCTTGCCCTTAGACGGTGTGCTTGATGAGGTTTTATCATCATCGCTTTCGTTGACACTGTCGACATAATTATTTCGATAGATATCTCTTAGGCGCTTGGTGGCTCGACCTGACCTCCGCGTTGGAACAATGTCTGCTACCTCTTCATCGTACCCATCTAACTCCCCGTCTTCTGAATCACTGTACACGGGTTGTACCTTAGACCGTGTCTTTTTCGGACTGATAAGTAACTTCGTTTGTCTCAGAGGCCGGGAGGCCCTACCCCCACTGTGGCTAGTTATCATGCGTTTTGGGCGGGCCGTCCCCCCTCCTTCATAGTCTTCATCGTCACTGAAATCAACGTCCTCTTCTGAGTCAGTTGCTTCATCAGTGTCATATGTCTTGGATCCTGAAGAAGACTCAGATTCATAAACCGCTCCGGGAAGTTTGATCATTATCCCCGACTTTAGTCGTGAAGCAGGATGGACGTAATGGGCAGAGGGATCGAAAGGATGGAGTACGCCTTCTGCTTTTTTTTGCTCTGCAGAATATTTAGTAATGTTGTTAGCGTATCAGGCCTTTACGTACCATAATGTGCAGCCAAATCTTTGAACCGAACTTCAAATGCTCTTGCAAGAAACTGGACGAGAGTAATTTTGTTTAGTAGATATATGTACAGTCATCAACGAGAATGTACTGTACTTTGTGTGCAATGCCATCCTGGAAGCGCACGAACCAATATAGGCCACTACTCTCTTGAAGCTCACCAATAACTTCGGCGACATCATCCTTGTCGAACTTAATGCCAGTAGCCGTCAAAGTGGTGGATGCGTCTTTGTAATCCTTTTTTAAATCAGAAGGTAACGAAGGAGGTTCGATGTAAACCTCTGTAGGGCGACGCGTTTCCTCTGATACTGGTAGGCCGTTGGGCTCGAGGGCGTCGTCTGCTGGTGCAGGGGACTCCCCTTCAGGGGTGAAAATGAGTAGATGATCAGAAAGGCCGTCATCTGACATTCCGATAGGTTTCGAACGCCCTGGTACAGTAAAAACGAAGCAAACGAGTCGTCTGTGATGATTACAGTCACGGACTCGGAATGAAGTTTTGGTTTGGGAACAAGAAAGGGCGGTGTCCTAATCTACTAACTTACGTAAAGCGTTCGGCCAAAGAACGAAATTCAAACACTGTGCATCCTAGTCTAGTCCAATATAACGCTGATTTGGTGGGTGCCCCCGTTCGGCGGTTTTAAGTAGAGAGAAAACTGCACGGCACACATCGGCTTGACGGCCTATTCGGCATTGCGTAGATAGAGCAAGGACTTGGTGAAATCAGACGAAAAAATATATACTGGTGATACATTGATACATGTATTCTAATGCTGGCATAGCAGCTATACAACCTGAACAAAGCCAATGGCTTTCACAAGAACGACGAGCTCAGGAGGTGGCAAAACGGCTGCCTTCTATGGCCTGCTACTGTTAATTCAAGAATTAATCACAAACATGGAGTTGAGGACTTACCGACAACACCAGTTATACTAATTGTAACCCCTCTCATTGCCTTGGGAAATACTCAGGTGAGTAGCTTAACCACGACAAATAATTGGGCTTACCAAACAGAACAGGCGGCTGAGACGGTCGACTTGAACATCAAGGCCATAGCTGTACACTCGGACAGTGTCCAGGCTGCCCAGGCAGAAGGACGTGACCTCCTGGATGAGGTACGCCGGTGCGAATGGTCAGTTTCATCTGACCCAACATGAGGCAGGCATAGTGATTAGCATAGAGTTTTCGCTGAGTGCTGAGCTTGCTGACAATCAACGGAGCTTGAATAGTGTTTGTGTTTTTGCTGTATTGACACCGAAGGGGGGCACTCTGCACCCCACCGTTATTTTGAAGCAGACCTTATTTACAAGATATCGATCGACTATCATCAATATATTGAATTAGGTCAGCAAGGGAGACTAGTGCATACCTGACCGGGTGATAATCACCGAGTGAACCAACCAATTTTGGAGTGGCTTTCACCAAATTGAGTGTTGATATTCAACTGTACAAGTTGGTACAGTGCCGAAGGGAAAGAGTAGGCATCTCTGGTGGAGGCGGAATTTTGCTCAGATTAATGTTTTTTTTGGCAGTTTTAGAGTGAAACATGGCCAAAAGATCGTGATTCTGCAATAAAATTTTTAGCCGTGTGATTACATAATCAGTCTCAATTTTGGTCTGAGAAATGGAAACTTTTTGCTGTGCATTTTGAAGCTTTCCTAACCTCAGATAACATTTCACAATACTTCTCAAGAACAAAAAGGCTCACCAAGCAACATTTCAGAGAATTCAAGGAAAGAGGTTATAGGAAGGGTCTTAATGCCAGTCAGGCTGAGGAAATATCACTCTCATCTGGGTCTCTAGACCAATCCGCATCCAAATATCCATAGAAATCCATGCCCATGGAGACATCTGTACCATCATAATATAGTTCCATGTCCCTGGTTGCTTTCAGATATCAGAGAACATGTTTGGCAGTTTCCCATGGATGGCTCCTCAGCACTGAGCTGTGTCTACTTAGCATTCCAACAATATAGGCAATGTCTGTTATGATACACAATTTTCGGACCTTTAAGTTTCATTCTCCTCTTTAACTTGCTTCTGTAGTTTTCACACACTGTGCCATACAGCACTTTCCATTTCATTCAAAATTCACCTTCTTGTGCTGCACTGCCTTTCTTGGATTTTAGCTACAAGTATCTCACGCAGTAGAGCTGGTCACACGGGCTGTGCCCCATGACATCATCAGCCACTGCCTCCATCAACTATACAGTACACATGTACAAATAACCTGTAGTAGTATATATACCCCAATAGATTAAGGAGACCCCTCAGCGAGTCCTCCTGTTGTTTACCCACAACAAACTTGGTCCTATCTAAAGGGTAACCACTCCCCTCACTTCTTATAGCTTTGTCTGAGTTGTGCACCAGAGTATACAAACTCTTGGTTGTAACGATGTCTGGGTGGGTTCCGAGCATGGCATACATGAGGGAGCCCACAATTGAGAGATATGACACTTGACACCCTTCAATATGTGTCTCGTGTTGCACAATATTTTCCCCTGGAGAAGTTTTGATCCATGGGCTATTGGTGTCCATACTGGTTTGCAGTTCTTCATTCCAGTACACTCCAAGACTGTATCAATGTATTGGTGTTGCAAGAGGGAGATTGTTTTGTTTGAATGATCACATTGAATTTCTATTCCAAGTATGTATTTTGCTTCTCCAAGGTCCCACATTTTAAATATGGATTCCAAATTTGGCTTTTGTGATATTCATGCATTTTTGGGATGAAGCTCCTAGGAGGAGGTCATCTACGTAGAAAACAACAAAGCATATTTGTTTGTTGTCCTGGAATACGTAGAGAGATATCTCTGCATTCAGTTGTGATACAACACTAAACTATATAACAAAAATGATATCCGTCTCCGACTGTACTTGCAGGGAATAAGAGGTACAATGAGCTTGAGGTCGACAGATGCTAGCAAATATAGCAAGTAGAGGATTTGGGAGTAAACTCAAGGGTTTCTCATAAGGAGTAAAGTGGGTAATTCAAGTAATAGAAAGCTAAAGAACTATACATGAATGCATAGTGCTTATATAGCTAACTGTCTATCCCTCAGACCGAAAGGAATAAAAGAAAAGTGGTCTGATAAAGGAATCAACCAATAAGAAAAAGAATAACTATCATACAACTTTTAAGGATTAATCAGCAGGTGAGAGAATGTACTAATAATAAATATTGTTATGCGTGTTCAGGAACCGTATCCTCATGATGAGGTACAATCCTGACTAAAGCATTTATTAATATTTCCAGGCTCTGATGGGGCTTGGAGCTGGTTGGCGATATCTCTACCACCGGCCCTTACCCATTGTGCTGGCTGGCTGGGAGTACTACCTAGTCTCTGATCTGCAATAAGAAGTGGTAACAATGATTAAAAAGGCCTGTGAGGGCTATGAGAAGTAAGATAACAAAAGATACTTCTAGCCGTAGAGCTAAAGGTGTAACAGGAAAGGTGTTCAAGAACCAAGACATGGAACAAAAAGATAAGAAAGTAAGAAAATATAAATAGTCCTTACATCAGTTTTGTGAAACCAAGCTCTTGGAACTTGCAATCAAAGGGTTTGTTTCATGTACAACCAGCTTATTTTAATTCATAGATGGATCTCTTTAACCTCCAGCAGTATCCAGGTTGGATAGGAACACCCCCTGGAGGAAGCATGTATAGTTTTTCTTCAAGTTCTCTATTAAGATAAGCTGTGGATGTAATGACCAAAGTTTGTATACTCTGGCGTACGTCAAAGACAAGCAAGGAGGGATGAATGGAGGAGAGGATAATCTCCCTTAGTTAGGACTGAGTTTGTTAAGGGTAAATAACAGGAGGACTTGCTGAGGAGTCTCCTTGATCTATTGGGGTATTTATACTACTACAGGCTATTTGTACATGTGTACTATACAGTTGATGAAGGCAGTGGCTGATGATGTCATGGGGCACAGCCCGTGTGACCAGCTCCACTGTGTGAAATACTTGTAGCTAAAAATAAAGAAAGGCAGTGCAGCACAAGAAGGTGAATTTTGAACAAAATGGAAAGTGCCGCATAGCACAGTGTGTGAAAACTATAAAAGAAATTTAAAGTGGAGAACAAAATTCAAAGCTCCAAAAATTGTGTATCGTGACTGTAGATATGTTCATTTGATCAATTTCTAGGTCATATTTTACTGCGAGGGCTAGAATAATTCAGATTGACTCTAAGTTTGCAACTGGAGCAAAAACCTTGTGCAACAATCCGGACTTTGTATCTTTCAATGTGTCTGTTTTGATCAAACTTGATCCGGAACACAGGTTTTGATGTAATAGGTTTTACTGTCTTTGGAAGTAAGATAGTATCATATACTGCATTGGTATTTTGATATTGGGATTTAGGAGTACCTCCTCCAAGGCAGACTTCCATAATTCTCCATCCAGGCATAACAAGGCTTCCTTTAGTGACCTTGGAAGGTCTATATTGAATGGACCAGTACTTGCTATCCCAGCAAAGAATGTCTCCTCTGTGTTGGATGTCTCTCTGGGAATCTTAGGAGTATTAGGTTTCTCCATGGGGTTATTGTGCTGCTCTTTCCGAGATTGTTCCTTGTTTAGAGTCCTTTGATAATCTTGGTTTTGCCTACAGAACAAGTCTGAAAACTGCTTCTGTGTACTCTTGGGACTTCAACAGGCATGACTGCTCTTTGAGGAATTTGTGAAGGAACTCCAGGGAGCGGATGCACTTGTGTGTGAGTTACCCCACTCACTCCTGAAGGTGTTTGATGTCTCCTTGGAGGTGTTGTGTGCCTTTCAAGAGCTTATCTGATGGACAGACTGTCCACCTGTTTTTGGACTTCCTACACATCGGCTGGCTGTATGTTGAAGAGCTGTCCTCCCACTGACTGTGACTCTACTTTGGGTTTCCGTTCTAAAGATAGCCAGTGTTCAGGCCTTGGTCCTAGAGACTGTTGTTGAGGGTGTTTTAGCTGCTCAAGTGCTCCCACTGCTCTCAGAACATCTTCATGAAGGTATTGCTGTAACAACCAAGAGTTAGTTACTCTGGCACACACAAGAACACACTATAAGGGTAGTGAATGGGGAGTGGTTACCCCTTAGGCTGCAGAGAGTTTGTTGGTTTACAACAGGAGGACTTGCTGAGGAGTCTCCTGGATCTATTGGGGTATATATACTAATACAGAGTATTTGTACTTATGTACTGTACAGTTGATAAAGTCAGTGGCTGATGATGTCATGGGGCCTAGCCCGCATGACCAGCTCCACTGTGTGAGAGAGTTGTATCTAAAAATAGAATAAAGGCAGCGCTGCACGAGAAGGTGGAGTTAGAACGAAAAAGGAAAGTGCCATATGGCATGGAGTGTGAACTATAGTAAAAGGTTAAAGCGGAGAATGAAAATTAAAGGAAAGGTCCAAAAATTGTGTTATCGTAACAATTGCCCCACTGCTCTTATAGTATTTTGATGCTGATATGGTTCCATTGCTTGCGGAACATCTCCTTGGAGATGTGGTTCTATTTGCAATTCATTGGGATCCTGGATCCGAGGGTCAGGATCATCCTCCTCAATTGTATCTTGGTCCGGATGGTGAGCATTCTCTGGAATAAGTCCCTCCCACTGATCTGTGCCAGGGTCTGTGTTCCAGGGAGCAGTAATGTCTTTTTGTACCTATTCATTGTAAGCAATCTATTCCCATGTGTCTCATGCTTCTGTGCAATAGACTTACATTCACTGCTGCAAAAGCTGACTCCAGGTTTATTTTGGGCTTTGCTTGGATGTAATACAGCCTACACTTGTGTATGGCAGTGAGGATGAGTTCCATCTCTTTCTGAACTTCACAAGCACTGGATCTTGCTGGAATAGCATTGGTAACCCCATTTTAGACAATTTGTGGACAGAAACAAGTGCTAAAGTAAAGTTTGGCACAAGTAAGACATTTGACAGTGCAATAGTGTGGTCTTTTTTTGCCAACAATTGCTTGTAGAATCACTGTTCCAAGTCCTTGTAGGGTTCAGAACATGGTATGTTCCTAGCTCAAACTAGGAGCGATGAGGGACCATGTGAGACATTGCTCCAGAGTCAATGATGATTGTTGTTTTGGTCTTATTGGGTTCCAACACAAGGTAAGCTTGAATGCATTTAGCAAGGGGCTTGGAAATATGGTTCCAATGCAATATGGCTCCGTTCCTCCTTGGAGTCAGATCCAGATAATTGCTTCACTGTATGAATAGAAGGCAGAGGCAATTTTGGATGTCTGATGGAGTAAAACATATTTGTCAAATCACTTCTTGGAGCTGGTGAGGTCTCCAGTCCTCATTAGGAGGGCATTGGACATTACAATATACAATTTTTGGACTTCCAAAGTTTCAGTCAACTTCAAACTTCCCTTTTGACATGTGTGTCATGCGGCACTTTCCTTACTTTTCAATCTCCACTTGTAACTTCACTTTCTTGCGCTGTGCTGCTTCCTCTTATTATTAGATAGAACTCTCTCAGGTGGTGGAGCTGGTCACAAGGGCTGTGAACTGTGACATTACCAGCCACCACCCTTAGTAACTGTATAGTACACATGTACACATAGTCTGTAGATGTATATAAACCCCAATAGATCAAGGAGACTTCTCAGTGAGTCCTCCTGTTACTGTATTTACCCATAACAAACTTGGTCCTACCTTCAGGGAGAATACCCTCTCCTTCCCTCACACCTCTTTGCTTGTCTTCACTGTGTGTTAGAGTATACAAACCTTGGTTGTTACATTGGAGATATGGTCCTGTCTCTCACCTTTTTAAGCACCATTTTCTATTTGGTGTTGGATATGCAAATATCTCATAACTTCCAAATCCAGTGCTGTCTTGTTGCTGGGAGGCTCTCTAAGGCCGTAGCACTTATATTATAGATTCATGGACATGCTTGAACAATGTGTTTCTGAAATGCGGTATTATATATTGTAATGACCAGTAATCATTTATTAGAGAACCCACATATATTTTTGTTGTCTACAGCAACACCATGAGTCCTCAGACCCCCAAGCCATCCATTCCCTCTGATGTTCCTTCCAGCTGGAAATTGCTGGTTACAGAACTTGCAGCACAGTGTGCTATTTTACTTCCGGCAAGCATTGATTCACATGCATACTGAGGGGCCCGACCTCCTCCAGCCAGAGCCGGGATCCCAGTGGGATTGGAATGCAAAACTCCTGGGAACATTTGTTAGCAAATATAAGAGAGCAGCAGGGGTGTTAGTGATTGCATACCTCACAAGGAGTAAATCATTTGTATTGCACCAAAGACATTACTGATGAATACCCGGGTAGTGAATATTCAATAGGATGCAACATTGTATGCAGAGCAGGGATATTGGCATTATCACAACCCCTTCCATCATAATGGACATTCATGGAAGAATAGTTCTATGGTACCTCCCGGGCATCCTCACTGAGGAGAGACAGGTAAAAATATATTTACATGGTCAAGCAAGATACTTATATTGAGCTAATATATTTAGTAATGCATGTGTGATAGTCTACAGCATCTCAAGCAAAATATGGAAAGCAAACACCTCACGAAGCCCTCAAAGAGCTGGCATCAATCTTCCAAATATTACAAAAATCCCAGGGACTATCGGCTATTCCCATGTGGGTTGATAGACTTATCCCCAGCGTGGTTGCAACTCAGTCACAAAGTTTGTGTTATTGAGTTATAATCTTATACATTACAATTAATAAAAGTTTCACCACAGAAAAGTGGAGAGGCTCCACAAGCTTTCCAGTCCTTGTGCAATCTACACCGCCTGGCACCGGTGAACTGTGGTTGCAATCCTTTGTGGAGACCAGGACCCTCATGAGTGCAATCTTGCATGTAGCTCACCCTGCACTTTATGAGTCAGCCGGGGAGGCGCTGGTACAAGTTGAGGACCATATGGATGATGTGATGATACTAAAGGCATGGAGCTCAGTCTTCAATGCACTTTCTATCATCAGTACACCGGGATTGTCTCTCCAAATCAGAGTGGTATGACATGTTGGCAAGGTGTAGGAGACTACAATGAGGCCATTCTGGAGCTCACCGGGGCAGGTTTTTGCTTCAAGTTTGATAGTGGGACTATTGCTGCATGTTTGGGTCATGAAGTCACAATTTTTGTTCTTCCATCTGCAGGTGCCTCAAGGCTTTGATCAAATTGGTAAGCACCTGGCATGGTAGGGGTTTACCCATTGACACTTTTTAGAAAGTTTTGTGACTTTTCTAGCACACGATCTGCCCCAATTTAGCCCTTTTTGCCTCAAATTTCGCACTTTTGGAGGTCAAGACTGTAGTGTTAGGTCTGTATTGATTGCTACAGGTAAGATATATCATGAAACAACTAGGACAGAGTAGCCGTGTTAGGATAGCAAATTGCCACTTCTTAGACTCACTGTGCTCTCTACGCCCCCGGAGTGCAAATTATGTGCCGTATCGGAAATCACATCTAGACGCAGCTATACACTACAGTCAACTTGACATCCTTGTGGTTCTGGTCAATGCCAATTGGAACCATTGGGCAGGCATCCGCATTGATCTTAAACAGAAGTCATCTGCATACCGTGATGGCCTTCATTCAAGTGCAACAGCATCTGTTGACGACCTTGACTTACTATCTTGGTATCTAGCTGCCATTCAGCCAGACTGCAACCATAGATCATACCCATCAGGTTCAGCTATCTGGAAGATGCTGACACAGTAAGACAGTGCCTCTTGCGGCATTGTTTATCTGACTACATTGGGGGCAGAGCTGCTACAGTACAATCCATGGTCACAGGTTACATCGATATCAGCCCACATAGAGTGGTTTGTGCGCTTATCTCAGAGTTTACAAGCTAATGAAAGTGTTGGTGCAATTTATAATATTCCTATGCCAAGAACAAATATTGACACTCCTTGCTTGGTTTAGGAAATTAGTGGTAGCTGTATCACAAAAAGAACTCTGTCAAGGCTGACAGAACTTGAAGATCCCAAACTTGCTATGTGCTTGGACATTAACCCCGTTGGAACTCCTAATTCATGTCTTTGCTGCCCTTCTAGTCCTATTCAACCACTCTCCAAATCACCATCTGTAGTATTGTCACTGCCACATAAATAAAAAAAGCGTGCTCATTCAGTCTCCTCTGCTTCATCAGAATGTCCCTCTGAAGATAGTGTCTCTGAACACAATCTGTCTCGGCATTATGGGAAACACAGGAAACAAAGTGACGCTAGTCAGTGTGGCAGTTCATGGGCAAAACAGAAAGCACTCAAAGAAAAGGCTTCTTCCCCTATATTTGTGATTGATAGGAACCACCTCCTTTCATTCTGAGCCAAAGTTCTACATGATAACCCACATGCAGAATTCAAGTCTAATGACTTACATTGAGTGCAATGTTCATATTGTGCACAGTGGATTAAAATGCTGGAAAAAACACCGCAGATCTCAAAAGTGTCATGCAAAGTAATCTAAAGGCCTTGTTGTCAAGTCACTATATAATTTTTTCAGCCCACAATCACGGCCAGCTCCTGGAACCCATACACATTCTCATCAATGTATAAACAATATTTTTATTCCATGTCCTGGTCTTACACATGAAAGTTACCCAAGTGTTAATTGCTACTTGGGCTGTACAGCAACTCTAGGTGGTGGCGCACCTTCACGGACAAAAATCGCAAAAGAACTCTATGGTGACGCTTCTGGTGATCTTTTGTGGAAGGATTTATCACCTCAGCAACAGAAAATGGTTCTGCATCATGAACAGGCCCTTTACAAATGGCAAATCAGATGTGCTGTTGGTGCTGTATTCTTGTTATCTTGCTGATATAAGGACCATTTTATTATTTTCTTATCTTCGCTATGTCTTGGTTCTCGAACATTTTTCCCATTACACCTCTGGCTCTAGGGCTAAAGGTATCATTTGCCATTTTACTTCTCATAGCCCTCACAGGCTTTCTTAACCATCGCTACCATTTTATATCACAGATCAGAGACTGGGTATTGCTCCCAGCCAGCCAGCACACTGAGTAGGGACTGGTAGTAGGCATCTCGCCAACCAGCTCCAAACCCCAGTAAAGCCTGGATATACTAATAAACGCCTTGTTCAGGATCATACCTCATCATGAGGATACGGTTCCTGAACACGCATAACAAACCTCTATTATTAGTACAAAACTCTCACCCGCTGATTAATCAAGTTAAAAGTCGTACAATAGTTGTTCTCCCTTTTTCTTATTGGCTGATTAATTCCTCAGACCACTTTTTGTATATTCTCCTTTCGGTCTGAGGAACGAACAGTTCACTATATAAAGCCTTACCTATTCATGTATGGCTCCTTAGTTTTCTATTACTGAATTTACCCGCTTTACTCCTCAACGAAAACCTTTGAAGCTTACCTCTCAAAGTCCTCTACTTGCTATATTTACTAGCGTCTGTTGACCTCAAGCTCATCGAACCCCTTACTCCCTGCAAGTGCAGAAGGAGACAGGTTTCGTTTTTGTTATAGTTTATTGTTGCCTCACAGCTGAGGGGAGGCTCTATTTGAGGATGGGGCAACAAATCCTTGCATGGAGTGCCAGAAACTTCAAAAATTACACACATTCCAAAATGTTCTCAACCGCAAAGTGCCATTGGAAAAAAAAGGAGCCAAAAATGGTGTGGCTTATACTTGGTGCTGCACAGGGCCCTATTTGTGTAACATCAAATGATGAAGTTGACGCATTATTTGAAAATGCTCAAATCAACACTAACAAAGCAAAAAAAGTACTATGGACATATTATTGTTTTGAAGACACTACTTATGCTCAACTGCTTGTAGTTGCGTATCTGGATGCTTACTATCCCACTACCAAAAATCCCGCCAATCCTTACTTATAGCTGTTGTGGCTTGTGGATCAACGGACGATGCATAGGACCTCTCAAAAATGCACTTTGAACTTCTTTGAATGATGCATGAGATGGGATTACACATCACCTCACTTGCAGCTGATGGGACAGAAACAGAGCGTGCTACTCAGTGTATCATTGCTGCATCTGCACATTCTATTTTTCATTACAGCATCCCCAACAATGTCACTGGTTGTACCATTGAGTTTTCAATCCCACTCTTTTATGGCTACCCCACTGTCCGTGTACAGGACTCAAAACATGGTGCAAAAATGTCCCACAACCAATTATTCACTGGTGCTCGACTTCTTGTACTAGGCAATTTCCCCATCTACTATAGAATTGTCCATAGTCTTGCTGAACATTTTTTGGGCCCTCTCTTTCTTTGTGATATTGAACAAGTTGATAAACAGGATGACCGTGCTGCTGCACGCCTTTTTTCAGCAGAGACTCTCAAATTTCACATGACGCACTTTCCAAAACAACCATCCCTCTCTATTTATCTCTTCATTCTTTGGGAGCTTATAGATGCCTGGCAGAATATCATACATACCACTTGTGCCAAAATGGTTCTGCGTGCTTGTTTTTTCCTGATGGCCTGGCGCAATCATGTAGGACAATACCCTAATTATGCATTTCATGTCCATTTCATCTCCCGTGAATCCTAAAACATTTTTCTCATATTGTGCGACAGCCTTATTCAGCTCATACTGGTCTACCACAGATATTATCCAATATACCCACTTCTACCATGGTTACATTCCACCAAAACATGTGAGCACACCTTTGGGTTGTTGTGACAGTTAAAGAAAGGTTTTAGCTATGCCAATATTCTATATCTAGAACCAAAGTTGCAGGCTCTGATGATGGGAGCCTTTCAAGACCTTTCACCTGAGGAAAAAGCAAACCAAACAGCAGCAGGCTACCACCACACATATTTCTGAGGGCTTGATCTTGATACTGCTGCTCTGATAGCTTGGCCAACAGACACAGAACTTGAACACGCTTCACAGCTTGCCTTTCAAGAAGTAGAGCAACTCCTTGCTGCTGTTGGCTTTGAAGCACAAGCTGTAATGACTCTATACAGAGCTCCTGAGCCGCTTCAAATGAAAGGTCCAAACTCAACAAATATCCACCCACCACAAACTGTGTACGATGTCCTTCAGAAATATGTAGTATTATCACTACCATCACACCTTAAGGATAAGATTGAAACATGTGAAATGGCTTTAGCAGTCGCAGATGTGGATCAAACACTAAAAATGTGAGATTGGTCATTTTTGTTCCAAAATACTCTCTTATACATATTGTGCTTATCCCATCTCTAGAATAGCAATACCTGACTCCATTTTATCTGACGGGACAGCGGTAGGTAAAATATTAGATGAGCTTCATGCTATAGCTGAAACATCATCTGTATGCTTTTTATTTTCCATTGATGTTGCTGTGCTAATGTATACAACTGTAATTAGAAGGTGTGTGCTGGCACATCAAGAGTTGATACCAAAATAAGTCAGGCCCTCGAGCTTGTAGACCCTTTTGGCTCACGCTAAGGCAAAATGCCTTAGTTTCAGTTAGAAAGTTAGAAAGGATCACCAACCTCAAGAAACAGCCAAAGCAGTTTGCCAAGCTAATTATTTGTCTACTATTCAGATACCGAGTGGATCTAAAGTGGAGGACAAAACAAGCTCAATACGAGACATCCTCATGCGTCGACTAGCATCACTTGTACCAGACTCACAATATACCACAACTGGTGCAGACCGGCAAATGCGTCACTATGGAATTTGTATAGGAACTCGCACTGATTCTGGGGCTCATGCAAGGCAGAAAGAAAATTTGCAACTTGTGACATCCAAGGTAGTATACACTGTCCAATCAACTGAACACAAACTGATTCTTTTTTCCCTTGTAATCTTAGAAGTTTGCCCAGTATCGTGAAGTAGCATTTTCCAGGCTACAGAATATTCACGACAACATGTTCAATGCTAATATCACAGAGCTAAAGCCTCTTGCACCTGATAATTTTGTTATTTTTTATACATAGGCCAAGAAAAATACAAAACAAGGGCCAGAAGTCCTGCTTGGTGAAGGTATGGGAATGATTTGCTCAAGCTCCTTATCTGACATACTCTGTCTATGCTAATTCAGTGATCACCATGTACACCAATAGTGGTGCAAAAGGTGCACGACATGAATGGATAAAATCAGCCCAAAGTGTTGGCCAGCCTTCTTATATCAATGTTCAAGTTTACCACTTCTTGCATGGCAGTGTGTATATTTCTATTGCATGCACATCTCTAGGTTGCTCAGTCTTTATGTGAGTTCCTCGAGCCCATATTCTCTTTTTGCTAGCAACAGTAGCTTCTGAGATCATCCGGTGTCAAATTGATACAGATCCTGCTCACCCCTTTACATCAGGAAATTTACATGTATCTTAGGCGTTTTATTTTCAATTGTAAGCTACGTCAAGCCATATCAAGCCATATCAAGCCAACAAAGGCAGATAAGTGACACTAAGGCCAAGATAAAGCTGTCAAAAATCATGTATTCTAAGACTAAGATTATGGTCACAAGACCAAAAAGCCATTATAAGTGGTTAAGAAAGACTAAGATGAATTTGTTCTGAAAAATGACTAATAAGGCAAGTAAGACTAGAAAGCAATTTCAAACACATTCTGATCAATAAATTTATTAACATAGAATAAGTCAAAAGAATCAAGAGAATTGGCACAGTTGATATCTTTTCCTATCAAAGCATCACCAAAAACAGGCATCATATGAGCCGCTCGCATGATGCAGTCTGTATGGATAACCTGAAGTGTAGGCGAGCCATCCTTGTTATAATCTGGATGCACAATCCACATCCCAGTGAGCTCATCACATTCATCACCACTGCACTAATGCACATGGGTAGCAAAACTCCTCGATAGGAAAAAAAAAAGAGTAGTAAAACACGAACAATATCAAGGCCCTGCATGCCAGGGAGTGTAGCATTGCGTTCTACAAATACTGTGTCATGCCAAGCTGGACCTTTGTGCCACATTGGCGTTACATGGATCACTTCACGATGCATCCCACCAACACCACTTTTGTCACTTAGTGCCTGGAAATATATGGTTGCAGAGTGCACCACTGATATTTTTGTGTCAGGGAAAAGCCTGGGGCAAGCTCTCAAGGGAACATCATATGAGGGGGGAGCATCTGGGTTGTCCAGATGTTCCTGGCTGTATAAAAATTGTTGGATGTGCTCTACAAAGGGTGATTGTTGGATTTGTTCTCCGAGTTCATGAGGTGTTCACATGTAATTAGGTTCTAGTTATGTACATAATTAGTTAACACAAATTTACAAGAAAACAGAAGATGTGGGCTTGGTTACTGGTCCTGACTTCATCGGCATCTTCTTCTATATCCCTAAGATCTGAAAAGAGTTAGTTGACTAACCATGTAGTTACACAGAAAAAAGAACTTACCTTCAAGCTCTAAGTCGGCATTGGCCCATGCATATGTTAGACTATCATCCTCAAGCATCCCTCGGCTTGTAAAATCCACACGTGATGCCGCTAGCTTGTCAAGTTGTTGGTTTGTAGTAAGCATTTGTCCTAGGGCTTCATAATAGCTGGAACCTCTCCAAGGTTCTTTGATGGCCTTGATGTGTTTTGCCTCAGTGATAAATGAACAGAGGCCATTTGGGGCCCCAAACTGACGAACGAGGAGAGGGTAGTGTGTGAGAGAACGTTGGGGAGGGAGGAAAAAGCCAGTAGGACGGATACTGAGGGTCTGGAAAATAGTTCAATGTTTGAAGGAAGTCAAAGACATACTCTTGGGAATAGAAAGAAACCCGAGAAAAGCAACTGCATTTCTATGTGCCCAACGCACACCATTATGTACATTACCTATAAATATATACATTGGATATAATTTGTTTTGTCCTGTTGCAACAAAAACAGTCATTTTATCACTCCCAAGGATGATTGGGACAAACATCAATCCATGAGTGTTAGCATCTTGAGCTATATTGTCTGCATGTTTCCATGCCCAATCACCAGACATGAAATGATGGTATTTCCGCTTGCCTGTGCTGTCATACTCACGTACGGGCCTGTAATCAAACCATCCTGCGAAGTCTGGATTTGAAAGCATATTTTTTACAATGGCATGTGGGCTGCAAAACCAGACTTTATAAGGTTTAGTTATCTAGTGTGGGATATCAGTGTCTAGAAGTTTGCCGTTGTAAGCAAGCATGAAAGATTGCCAAGGAATATCTCCAAGTGATGTTGAATCAATAGTCCTATAAAGGTCATCAGCACTGGCAAAAGGCACACAATCTTCCTGTAAGCCGTTTTTGATGAAGGATGCACGCCAAAGGTCCATGAGCGTATTAATATCCCCAGCAGACACCTGTGTTTTCTGATACAGCAGTTTGGCAGCTTCAAATTCAATGTGATCATAATATGTGTTAGTTTTGGTGATTCTGCACCTAGTTGTGCTATCTATTTTCCCTTCTTTCTAAATCACTTTCCTCTTTATTTTTTCTGCTGTATTGTTCAGTATTCACTGAGCATTCTATAATTTCGCCTTTGTGGCTGATTTGTTTACCTTTGTTTACAAAACTTCGGACTAGTATTGCAGAGTCCAGTATTCCTATTCTTTAGTTACTCATACTGGACTCTAGGTACTGTACACATTCTGTACTCTCTGATAATATAGTTACTCATACCGGACTCTAGTTCTGTCCCTGTTAGCTCTCAGCAAGTGGCTAGACACTTCCCAGAAGTTCTCATTTGAACAATATGGTGTCCGGTCTTCCTTGGAGGGATTCTGCGGTGGAATAGGCAGCTCTCCTGCAGGTAGATAGACACCGTGTTCATCACATGGCAAACCTGAATAAATAATCAAAGATTGAAATAGTAAAAAGACAGAATAATCACCATTAATGAATGGATGGTATTCAAACTCAGGATTTGGCCTTTCCTCGTGTGGAGGGATGTCCTTGTCACCATTCTGCACAGGTTCTATGTCCTCATCATACATCTGATCCTCATCCTCATCCTGTGTTGCTTTGTCTTCCATATCCACATCTCTGTCTGTCACATCCTGTATAGCATCCTGTTGGGTCTTGTTCTGAGTTAAATCTCAATGCTGGAGCTGTGTAGTGTTCAAAAAGGACAGGTGGTGCGTCCGTATATGCTTTGTGAGCCCACTTTGATTACAAAACCATTGTTTGCAGCCCAAGGTGTCACAACGAAGGAGCTTGGCATTGTGAGATTGATGAGATTGTGATCTGTGGGTTGGGGAAGTTAAATACATTGGATGTAGAACCAAAAGAGAGAGACGCAGCTACACATTGTTACAATTTCTGAGTCACATTACCCTGGGCGTGCGACAGGCTGTTAGCCACACCATGGGTGCATTTTCAAAATACTTGCTCACCTATTGATATGTACCCCATTTCCATCTCTCACTTCTACCTCTTGCCTCATCCTCTTAACTATGAGCTGACCAATCACTTGTGCCAAGAATGCAAGCCAGCACCCTGGACAAGTTGTGTTGGACTCTCAGCCCAAGCGTCGGACATGAACAGAAATAGCAGAAGAAAGAAAAAACAAAGCCCACAATGACAAAATGACCACACTTGCTATCAGGCAGGCACTTTCAGCTCTGGCAAAAAAGGAAGACAAACAAGCAAGAGAAGACTTAGCAGCAGAAAATCCAGTTCCACCTCCTTCTCAGCGCAGTGTGCTCAGCCAAAGATGGCATCAAAGACTTTAGGACCTGGCATCACTCTCAGGCGTCAGAAAAGCAACCACATGGTCATTCCTGATAGCAAAGAAAAAAGAGTGTCTGTTGGAGGTAATGAACAATACAAAGAAGACTCTGACCTGTCACCCCCACCACCGTCCCGATTTCGACACAGAAGAAACCTGTCTCCCCCACCACCATCTCAAGTTCAATGCAGAAGCAGCCGAGCTATTGATATTCCTGCTAGTGAGGAAGATATTGCAGAGACTCATTGGGGAGACTTTGATAATGGGACTCAGCTTGATATGGCCAATCCAGGTGATTGTTCAATCAATGAGAGCGGGGGCCTGGGTGTTGCTACAAGAGAAAGAGTTAGTAAGCATACTGAAGTTGATGAGAGGGCCAGAGAGGACATTGAAGAAAGCGACGAGGAAGAGCGGCCAAAGAAGAAGAAAAAGATGAACATGAGGGAAGCTGTAAGTGCACTGCATAAACAATCTGATGGCCCAGTTAATCAGAAGGCACCTTGCCTCATCAGTGCGTCTATCAACCATCAGCCACCACCAAGGGAATCAGAATGTGGGAGGCAACAGCCACATGTCAGGTTCGAGTCATTTTCCCTAATTTGCTTGATTCCATTATACTCATGCAATTGTCACCCATGATGTTACTTACACCCTCAACTCTATTTTACCACAATCCAAGAATAGCTGATGGCTCAGCTGTGCAATCCTTTGAACTTGATGTAGTCGAAGATTGGGCTAATCATGTTGCTAGCAATGCTAATTCCATCAAAAGCCAGGGCAAACTACTTGCCACAAACAGCAGATTGTTGTCTCAAATCACTGACATTGAAAAGTCCAAAAAAACAACTTCAACAGCTCTAACATCCTTATCTAGCACGGCCAACTCATCTAATGCCCATGCAAATGACGATAATAATGGCAGCCTGTATCATCCTGGTGGATTCATTGACCCGGATGAGGATGAAGCAGATGAGAAAATGGCTTTAAAAGGGAAAAAGAGGACCACTACATCAGTACATATCCCCACTCTACACAGTCCACTCACTGAACTGGTTTTTAGAATCAGGTCACAATAAGTCGGAGAACCGTGATCTCCATGAGGGATGTCACATAGACAATAGATGGTGCTTGGTCTTCGTACCAACATTTCAGCAATAGCTTGGTACCTCTGAGAATCCATGGAATCTCAATGATCCCAAAGTATTGATTGCTATGCAGGTGATCTGGGATGTTGTGTATCCTGATATTGTTACAATTAACATACCAGCACCTACTTACGCTTCACTTTTGTACTTCTACTTCTATTTTCCAAGTCACATGACCAGTCATGTGACACATCACCTGACCAGTGTCTAGACTCATCATGTGACCGGTCACATGCTAGACATCGGACTTTGAACTTTATTTACAACTGTACAGTACCTCATGTATTTTAGTATATATACAAGAGCAATACATGGGGAAGGACTCAGCGAGTCCTCCTGTTGTCTAGCATAACTAACTCACTGCAGCCTAAGGGGTAACCACCATCATCTTCTTTATAGTGTGTTCCTGTGTGCGCCAGAGTAAATAACTCTTGGTTGTTACAGATATTGTGTACCTTGTTAGTGTGAACTGTCCTGTTTATTGTGTAGTAAGTAATTCTCCTATGTTTTTTTTCTTCGTTACATCTCACATACCCTTTCAGCTTGGCCAACAAGTCTACAAGTGGCATAACAGTTTCAGTGCTTCAGCGCAGGCAATGTTGGAGCATTTATTCGATACTATGCCTGACTTCAGGTCCCAGGAATCTTGTCAGTTGTTCTCAAAGTCTATGCTAGAAGATTTGACCTTTTTATACGGGGTTGTTGGACCGGAGAGATCAGTGAGTCCACCCACTTGTATTTCTATCCAATGTAGTATCCATAATAATATATTCTTATATTACTAGAAGCATTGGGGAGCATTCTGCTCCCCTTTTATTTTACAGACATTTGCATCCCATTTGGATGTAATTGTTGGCTCAGTTGATGTCCCAGCATTGTGGGCAAGTCATGCCACCGCCAGTTCATCTGAACTTGTCAAAAACCTTCCATAGGGTGCTTTAGCACGGTGTGGAGCTGCGGTATTTTTTTTCTCATTTTTTTCCCTGGACTATTACTCATTTTTGGTATACTTTCAGGTGGAACATATATTTACAAAGCAAAGTCAAGTCCCCATACTTTGTGCTGAGGATAAGGAGGAGGATGATGTCTCTCTTGAGGGGAGGAATAGCATGTCTACCGGCAAATCATTCCTCAAGCCCATCCCTCAGCTAAATGTACTCAGCGGAAAAGAGACAACTGTACACGACAACTTCTCTAGCGCCAATTGGGGAGCAGCTACCCGTGGCTAGGTGACATCCCTCAAATCCCTCCAGCCTGTGTCGATGATGAGAACTGTTGTTAGAAAACCACACACAAAAACAAATTAACACACAATCCTCCCAGATTCCACGGAACTTGTTTATGGGCTTTGCCTCCTAGAACAGTGGGTGCTCTGGTTGTTCGTGGGGTGGTATGTATGAGGATCCTTTAAAGTAAAACCCAGAGATGTATGGGTGTGGGTTTTGAGGAGGAGGGATAGTTGGAATATAGAAAGATAGGGGCTTTGTGGCGAGTATAGACGAGCACTACCTTGCTAATCGTAGCACAAGGTAGGTTTGAGAACGACAATATGACAAGGTTCCCAGTGATAGCAGGCTCCTGATGCACAAACTGTAGTGCTCAGAAGGACTCTAATTGAAAGGGATGACAATGACTTCAAAAGTGGGAAGTGACGATAACAGCAGTTGACAGTGGTAGCAGTGGGAAGTGTTGTGACTACACTGGATCACAAGCAGCAGAGTAGTGAACTTGAAATTAGAGAAGAAGTCTGGAATTGAGTTCTTGTTCTTTACAAGGTAAAATACAGGGGTTTATATAGTAAAAGAAAAGTAGGCTATGCACAGTATAGCTATGCAAAAAGAATGAGAAAAAACATGAAGGAAGGAATGTACGCTGACAAATCCTGCGTAGGTAGTACAGGATAAGATTGTCAAAAAAAGGAAAAGAAAGGGATAGAACAATGAATGCTGTGAGTAATGTCACAGGTTTGTACAGCCATAAAGTAAAGTCTAATAGCAAAAAGAGAGCAGGAAAATCATGATGTCATGGGAAGATACAGGTAAAAAAAGGGCAAGGCAAAACACTATCAGTATCAACACAGTTCCTTTATTGTCAATCAGGCATTCTAAAAAATATGTGTCCATAAAAATGATTCAAGAATCAAAAATAATCGCACTATAAATGAATGTTCTGCTGAAAAAAAAGAAACTGGAGCCACCGGTCCACCACCTAGTCCAAATCCGACAGTTCCGTGGCCTCACCAATGGACTGGTTGTGTTGGACCACCTGGTCAAACGAGGGAGGGAGAGGAGTAGTCCCAATTTGGAACAAGTGAGTCCCAGGCAGCGTGTGGTAGGTGTAGCTGTAGTGAAGACGATGGACAAAAGATAAGTGTACCCAAGTGAATGGGACAGCAATGAACATGGGCGACGCAAGGGGATGGACCTTCTCCAGCTCAAAAACTACCCACCCACGCTCCAACCAGGCAAGATGAGTAACCGATGTCTTGATAGTATATGATGGTAGATCAACATCATAAAGATGGACCTGTTGCCCTATTGAACCGGCCGCCGGGGCTTTGCTGATATCAGCAGTGGCACGTGGTAGTCGACGGATCAGCGACGGAAGCGGATAGGAAGTGGTGACATCAGAAATGGTGGGGGTGCAAATAAGATGAGGAGGAGGAGGGTGGAGGTGACGAAATGGTGGATTAGAATGGGGATCCAGAAATGACTGTTAGGTGAGAATAAAAAGGAGAGGAAGGGGCCCATGGTGGGGCTAGGCAAAGGAAGGGAAGTGAAGGAAACGACAAAAACGAGGGCGCAATGCAATGTATAGCCAGTGGCGACGCAAAAATTTGCCGAAATGCCGAAACATGGAAAGTACCGAATGGCAAAGCAAAGGTGAGCGTGACTGGATTGCTATTTCATGTGGCACTGTGCCTGTGTGGTGCAAAGGCGAGTCTTTTTGAATATTTGCTTCGTTATTGACACCTGTCCATGCTACCAATCAACTTTGGTGCATGATACCGGCAACCATTGAAGATATTTACAAGAAGTCCGTCAAATATACGAAAGCAGAAGGGAAGCATGACCTAATGGAAAGTGACACAGAGGAAATTGACCTCCGTGCATGTATCAGAGATGTCTACGTTTTAAGCTTTTATTTGAATGTTTTTCATGTTCTTCCCCATTACAAATTTCATTTTCTCAAAGGACCGTAGTTACACTTTAATAGTAATTTTGGTGGTAAAATATTTTGCTATCTTTTCTATCTTCTGTTATCTTGCTATTTCCTGTCTTATGCTACTTAGCCTGTCTTGTCGTTACCTTGTGGCTTTTGTCTCTTAATATTACTTGTTGATATTGTTCTGTCTTACATTATCTTGAGGTGCTTAAAAAATAAGATGCTTGTAAGTCATAACAAGAAGACTGATCTGTAGAAATTATATTATGTAAGCAAACTTTGGAGCTTTGCCCGGAGATTTGGATAGCCTTCACATCCCATACCATTGAAATGTATACATTCCCACACTATGGGCTGTTCACGGTTTTGAGCCACTCCAACACTACAGCCGGCAGTAAATTTTGCTCTATGGTTGTTGGAGACCAAACACTTCCGAGTCATTCCTGTACCCACAAGACAGTGGCACAAAACCATATTTGCATGGTCTCAAACAGTCCTCTGACACCATTCTCCAGTACAAGGACAATCACTGCTGGATAGTTGCGTGCAACGATATGAACGCATATGGTACCACAATACCATACCACCGGCATCAGACATGGTACACCAATTTCATACGAATTCATTCTACTGACACTATTCTACGCCATATTTCAGAGAACTGATATATGGTAACTGGTGATGATATGAACATGTATGGGGCTGATAGGCCATAACCACAAAAACACAAGATGGTGAGTTTCGTCCATAGTAAACTAATCTATCAATACTATCTTATGGATCATTTTGGTTAGCTATCATACAGTAACTTATGGCTATACGTCCACGTATAGTGTCACCACACTGTATGGCCCAAATCAGAGATGGTATGGTGGGTCTAGCTGCCAGATGGTCACTTACCATTATGTGATCGTGTATGGTATGATAAAATCATATGGCAGAAATGAAAAATGGTACATTGGCTTTAGACTACTCAGCCGATACTATCATTTTGCTTCATAGTGAAATACAACATGGTTTGTCCTGTAGTTATTAAATCTACTTTTCTGATACCGTCCTACAGCACTATCCTTATGGACTGCAAAATAGTATGGTGGGACTATATCGCTGTGTATAGTTCACATCAACTGTTTGCAAATTTTCTCCGAGTGACCCCAAATGGTGTTAGACGGCTGTTTGACCATGGCAGAAAAGATTTAAACTATGTATAGATATCTTACGCTGTTTGATTACACTGTACTATAGGAGCGTTTGTGGTAGTGCCCCTCCCTATCAATATCAGCATAAGATACACCAACAATAAACCAACCCATCAAACTTCAATATTCTTCATCTTGCGTATCCTCAACCGATTCCAGACAGCCAGAAAAACTCTTGTATACAATATTGCGTGGTCCTGCGACATGTAGCTAACAGATTTTCGGATTTGCTTCAAGGCGATATTGCCGCATTCAGCGGCACTAGAGTTGATTTGTGTGAGTCGAGGGTCCGTGCTGGCATAGCTGGTAAGAAAAGCAGCTGGCAAGCACTTAGTATGCCCTTTAGCATGAAATCCATCAACCACAAAGAGGGTATCTGCAAAGAACTCCGGTTCTTGAGTGATACAGTAAGGTGCCAAAGCACATGCAAAGTTGTAGACAACGACTCTTGGGGCCTTCGGCCAACGCATCACAATGGCCAAAAAAACATTGTTTTGCCCCTCACCTCGGGGTATGCAATGGAATCCATAGCATATGCTGTGTGTGCACCATGCACGCATCAAACCTCCTGTCAGCCTCTTTTCACTGTATTGTGAATAGTATTTAGAGCATTTATCTCCTCGCTGTCCGCCAGGTTCTTCACAAAGGTCGTGCTTGAGGTGGGGATAACAAGGACGATGCCAAATCTGGGGCATGCTATAGAAGCAGCCTGTTTGTGTAAAAGTTCAGTCTTGTGATATAAAATCCAAGGATTAGTTGTCTAACCTTCTGCTATTCAGATGAGACACCAGGGTCAGGTGTAATGCAAGGAAGTGGAGAATTCTTGACCAGCAAAGACTTCAAGACATCGCAACTACACACATACAGCCAAAAACAGACCGCAATGACATTCAAAGGATAGGACTTGTTTTGGCTTTTGTGGAACTTTAACACATTGCAAAGACATGGAATGCCTACCAAGTATGATGCATTTTCCTTGGTAGGTGACAGAAGAAATTGGTACAGCTTGTATTGAACTGACCGGTTGACCAATTGTAGGATTGAGTCTTTGGCTACAAGCTTCCACCGACCACAGTTAGAGTAATGTTGTATGCTATCAAAATTGTTGTACATACCTGTATAAATAGTATCCGATATAGACAAGGTGGTTTACTTGTGATGTCCCCCGAACCAGAATGGTGTAGAAATAGATTTCCGAGTGCAATGTTGATCTCCTTAAGCTTGGTATAAATATCTAGAACAGTTTCTGTCCTTGTCAATATATCATTTGCGTTCCGTTCGGCATTTAGAGCTATAGAGTGGTCGCCATTATCAACATCTACTTCGGTCCCTATGACTGTGGTCGAGCGCAAAGAAAATTTGCCTAAGATGTTGTGAATTTTAACATGTAGAGTATTATCTATGATAACTGTAACGACCAAGAGTTAGTCACTTTGGCGCACAACTCAGACAAGTAAAAGGGAATACCAATCAACAGTATGTACCATTGATTGGTCAAAGAGTAAGGAAAGGGATCACCCCTTAGGTTTCAACAAGTTAGTTGTGAGGATACAACAGGAGGACTCGCTGAGTCCTTCCCCAAGATCTATTGGGGTTTATATACTAGTATAGGTTTGTTTGTACATATGTACTGTACAGTTGCTAGAAGCAGTGGCTGCTGATGTCATGGGGCCTAGCCTGTGTGACCAACTCCACTGTGTGAGATACTTGTATCTAAAATAAGGATAAAGGCAGCGCCACGCGAGAAAGGTGGAGTTTGAACTGAAAGGGAAGTGCCACATGGCACAGTGTGAAAACTACAGTACAAGGTTAAAGCGGAGAATGAAAATTAAAGGAAAGGTCCGAAAATGAAAAGTAAGGTAAATGGTCACATGACTGGTCATGTGACTTGGAAAAAGTAAAAGTAAAGTACGAAAAGTAAAGTGTGAGTAGGTACTGGTACGTCAATTGTAACAATAACCTGTTGATGATTCTTGTAACATACCAGCTCACAACAAACTGATTGGGGATGTGAGATTGTTGGTGGGCAAAGAGAAGGAAGGAGCTGTTTCTGGCTGAAAGTGAGCGTAACTCCATCCCAAATAGTTTCTTCCGGGAGAGGTCCACATTTGGTACATTCCATGTTGTTGTTTAATTGCTGAAGTCACACGTAAGAAAACCAAATGGCTTGAAAGGTCTCCTCAGAAATGAATTATTGACGTGACCCGTGGCTTTGGTATCGGCGTGATACAACAGACAAATGAAATGAAAGGTGTCTCTGATGTTGTAAACTCACTTGTATATTTGTTGAGGAGATCGTGAGTGAAAATGATACAGTTGTTCCAGTTAAATAGACCCATCTCTTGTAAATTGGGTCCGATAAATCTTCATTTGATGGGGGGACAGCTTGTGCATGGCTGGATTTCAATTATACATGGTAGGGCACCTGTCAAAGTATAGATAGTACACGAGCAGCGCTCCTTCTCTCGCAATGTCGAATATCTTGCATTTGAACAGGCACAGCTTGATAAATCACTTATCTCAAGAAGGGATGGAGTGGTTTGAAGTGGACGAGGACAAGGGTATAGCTGTATGTCTTCATTGAGTGAGGTCCAAATTGGAGGCAGAATTGCCTGATACAATATTGACCTCTGGCTTTTCGATTGAGCTGTACAGACGCGGGTAGCTGCTGTCTCGCTATTAGTTTTAGTCTAAATTCTGATAGCAGAAAATAAACTCACTGGATAACTCATCACTTGGATTATCTGCATAGTTATCTCGCGTGTTAGGATCACTGGTGAGAAGCTTTTGAAGTTGGTGACAGGCTTGCACTACATGGGGACAACTACTAGTACAATCTTTATTACAATTCCACTGCCCCTCTCCTCCGTCTGAACCAGTGTAAGACACAATTACGCGGTTTTTTGCAGATAGCTGGTTTAACAGCACAACCAAGAATAAGTTTGTTGAGATGTTGTCATCAACAGGCTGTCAAGAAAACAAGATGGCACATTCTTTGTCTTCAAGTACTATAGTGTTTAGCTGTGAGAGCGTCAAGATATTTGTAGAATAGCTTACCCGCATAAGTGAATGTGGTCTCATCCACAGGGAAGCACTCTTCTCCATACTCCTCAAAAAACTGAACATGGACGCACTCACTGGCTTTTGGACAAAAACACACAACCACCAATTCTGAGTGAATTTTCTTCATTTGAAGATGGTAAAACATGCCCTGTTCCAAACCGCGGATTGGTGAGTCTCACATCATTGTGATTTTGGAATCATGGTTACTCACTGTGCATGTGCTACTTTTATTATCCCATCCTTGAATGACAAAAATGGTACGGGTGACTTGATATATAGCTACACACTCTGATAATACCAGGTCAACAAAACTATCATAACTAGTATCCCCGTGGCTGTTAGCCAAGGGCTCGACATCATGGTTGTTCACCAATCACAGAGGTGTGGGTGAATCAGGAAATGATGGCTCGTGGTTGTCATCAAAATTTGGATAACCCACTGGCAGCTCATTCTTGACCACTTTTTGAACACCACCACTTGAAATTTTCCATCAGCAATATAGAAATAATATTTCCACATGTGTTTTCCAACAGCCCAATACCTCCTCAAGCTCTTTATCGCACGATGGCAGCCTCTAATGGCAATAAATGAATCCGACAATGTCGCCGATGCGCAGGAAATCTGCCATTGGCATTATGCCAACACACAAAAGCTGAGAGGAGGTATCTAGAATATGTAAGTCTTTTTCTTTTTCTATGTTATCCCAGAAACTTAGGACTTACTAGCCACACACTGATGTCAATAATGATGTCCGCTCATTGAGTGGTCATGATGACTTTGCCCCAGCCAATCTCCTTGCTCCTTCCGTACCAACTCCAGGTACAGAGCCTATTGAGAACCAGAAAGAGGGAGACGACTTGGCCACACCATCTGGCCAAGCAGCATTTGTCTTGCAGCCACTTTTGGCCCAACCACCAGCCCACCCTGGCTCTCTCCACACATCAAACATAGACCCCATTCCATTCTCCTTCAACTTGACCAACAAAGTACCCCTAACCTGTTTTGCACCTCCTTGATCTGCAATACCCAAGGAGAGGTTGTGATCCAGATGTCCCTCTTGCCAATGAACTCACTTGTTCCCCCCGACACTTTGAATGCTGACCCACCTTTTCCCTTGCTTGACTGACCAAGTACTCCACCCAACCCTTTCAACACGTCCTCAATCTCTGACATCCCAGAACCAGTAACCCCTCAATCGTTTTATTCACATAAAATGGGCATGTTGTCTGACCTAACAGGTAGTGTTACAATAACACAATTTTCGGACCTTCCCTTTACTTTTATTCTCCGCTTTAACCTTGTACTTTAGCTTTCACACAGGGTGCCACGCGGCACTTCCCCTTTTTGTCCAAACTCCTCTTTCTTGCGCCACATTGCCTTTCTTCTTATTTTAGATACAACTCTCACACACAGTGGAGCTGGCTATGCGGGCTAGGCCCCATGACATCATCAGCCACTGTCTCTATCAACTGTATAGTACACATGTACAAACAAACCTGTAGTAGTATATATACCCCAATAGATCCAGGAAACTCCTCAGCGAGTCCTCCTGTTGTATACCAACAAACTCTCTGCAGCTCAAGGGGTAACCACTCCCTCATCATCTTCTTTATAGTGTGTTCCTGTGTGCGCCAGAGTGAATAACTCTTGGTTGTTACAGGTAGTAGTTACAATGGCTCTTGCCGTTCACACTAGCACATGTCAACTCGGAACCCGCTTTATGGATGTGTTGAAGGAGCTAGGAGGGGAGCAAACAAATGGCGTCAATATCAATCTACCTAGGCAAATGTATTTTACTGATTTTTTGTTTCAAGCAATTCTTCACACAGCACATTTGCAACCTCTGCAGATGTGCGCTGGGCAAGCTTCAGCACATTTTTCGCGTCTCATGTCTGACATTATTACACGGGTAAGTTTTCTTCCAAGTTTCAAGGCTCACATTATTCACTAAATGTTCAGGCCGAGTGTGTATGCCATGAAACAAACTGCTGGCTCTTTGTAGCAGCTCAGCATCCTCAAGCAAATGCTCACTTCATCCATTACACATCCCCCTGACTTCAACGTGAGGCCAAATCCGAAACTGTGGATATTATCAACCTATTCTCGAACACTATCAACAATCTGATCAATGCACGTTGATCGCATGCTATTGAGCTGTCTCAGAAGTTATCCGAAGTGAATCAGTCACAAGTACACACCAAAACTCAACTAGCGGAGACACAAATGGAGATTGCTCAAAAAAGATGCATTGACTTTAGAGTAGAAGGCTCGACTTGGGTTGTAAATAGTAATTTATACTACATTCTGACACATTATTGATTTTGATGTAACCACCAATCATTGTATCTATGTGTGAATAGACCAACAACAAATGAACCAATAACTAAGTCCTCAATTTAACACCACCTGGCTAAACTCAACCAACAGATCCTCTAACCCATTCCAGTATGCAGCACTTGATGAATTTGATGCCGGGCTTGATGCAGAACTTGGTATGTTAGGCCGAATAGAATTTGGATGGAACATCCCAATATGCAGGGCCATGCCCGTACAATCATCCTGCCGAGGGGGTGGTTTCACAGTGCGGAAGGAATCAATTTCCTGGTGATGGCTCACCTGGCCATCTGATTGCAGACAACTCCTCATAGTGGTAGGGTCCATCGAGTGAACACTACTCAGGCTATAATTATTGTGGCCTGCCAGCAGATCTGATTGAGAGCCAGTTACTTTGAAGTCCTGTTGCATACGGGGCATTGTGGTTGTGGTTGTGGTTGTGATGGTAGTGGTAATGATAGTGGTTCTTCTGTTGCCATTGGTTTTGGTTGTCGTAGTCGACGTAGTTGTTGTTGTAGTGCTTTCGGTTGTCGTAGTTGACACGGTTGTTGTTGTAGTAGTGGTTGTGCTTGTGTTCCCTTGGGTTGTCAGTTTTGGTCAGCCTGTTGAAGAGACTGGCTTGGTGGGCTTTACCTATTTCTTTGTCAAGTCCCCCGGCTGTAATTTTGCCAAGTCCTATGGTGTTCATTTCAGAAACTACTACAATATTGAATGATAGATGATGGTGGTGTGACGGTAGGACATAAACGGATGAGTCAACAACTTGATGAGAGAATTGATCAAGATCTATCTGGTCAAGAGAAAACTTGAGAACCTACCATTTTCACAAGTTCATGTGGCGGAATGAATGGTGACCACCTTTGGATTCATTTGCGGCAATATCAAGTAGCTACCTGATGATCGGACGAGATGTCATAGCTGCATCCTTGATCAACCAGCTGTGGCTGAAAGTCTGTACAGTCACTACAAGCACTAAGTTGTTTGGGCTGGGGTAGTGTTGGGGTAGATTGTTAACAATCTTGTTATGCTCATGAACAAAATGTACCTTCAAAATCTCCGGTACATATAGTACATATATCCCTACCACCCACGCACGTCTCACAGAATCTTTTGATGTAGTTAGACAGAATTCAATGTCCTTGCTTCTGATTTGAACTTGTTGAGAAACTAGAGTGACAAATATCAATCAAAATGTCCACTAATATCCTTTAGATTCTTTCTTCGCCTCCAAACCAAACCAGCCATCCTATCTCAAAACAATCACCTCACAAATGAACTAAACTTCTCCCAATCCCTCTACGAACTTGAATCACAACACGAAAAACCTAGCAATACTAGTCCAACGCCTCTTGATGTACAAGTTCCAACCTAAGTCCTAGTTTGCTTGTTACACTGATTGATTGGATCATAAAGCGCATCTTGATGTCCAAGCTCAAGCCAAAGTCCCATCTAACTTATTATGCGTCCCATATTAACTTCCATAGTGTCCCCTCTATATTTCAATGTTTTGTTAATAAGCGTGCAAGAGCACATGTGATGTAAATGGTACAAACCACATGGAATCTTCGTTTGACATGGTATATCTCTCTGCTGCTGAGTTCGGGAAGCACATGGTTCATGTGTGAGCCTGGCCGGACTTCTTGGGCATGTTGTTTTTGGGAATTCGTGCCGACATGCGTAAATCTGTAAGATATGGTAAATCCTGACGATCATATTTCAGTTGCAGACGCTAAGGGCAATCTGGAAATACCGTTAGTTCTAACCACAATCACATCAGAGGAAAAAATCAAAAAATGTGTCATAAATATTGGATATTTTGATGTGGTACTTTGGTGTGACCTCCCCCCCGCTTTTTTGTGTCTCCTACTGCTATCGTAGTTATTTCAAACGAGAATAGTGGCTCATGATAACAATGACACAGGTATGTAACACTGAATAAAAGATATTAGCCAATACTAAAAGCACGGGGTGAAAAACTAGATTCCAACCTACAGAACTTGGAGCAGCAGCTAGCTAAGGTAGTGAACAACATTGCAAAAAAAGAGGCTAAGCTGGCTGAGATAAATATGAAAGCTGAACTCAAGAAAAAAGGGGGAGGAAAACATATGTGGCTGCGCATTTATGAGACAATGGCAGTGACACAAATTTTGGTTTTTAGTATTGCGTGAAATGGCAGAAGGGCAGCTAAACAAATCGAGGAGGACTCTGCCCATGCTGAAGGCAAAAATGGAACACATCAAAGGTATTTGAGTCTGCGACAACAAGCAAGTACGAGGAACTCACCATTATATCAGCCATTAAGGAGATTGCGGCCTCTAAAGCCATGCAAATCAATGACCAAGTGGCAAGCAAGGATCTAGCACCACATGGAGAAGGGCAAGACCAAGAGGAGAGCGGGATGGCGATAGGTATTTCAGTCTCGTTAAAATAAGCAGACATGAGACACTTACAAAGACTCCAAGTAACAACCCAGGGCCCAGCACCAGGAAATAACAAGAGAAACCAACAGCAGTGTTCCATATAAAATCCGCAAGGGAATGTGGTCAATCTAGGAGGCACAAACAAGCAAGAAACTGCCAGCAATGGGTAAGCTGTCACACAGAGCGTTACAGAGCAGGGAAATAGCTGTGAGAATGGGGACCAGCATGACACTGAGGAGTATGGGGCGTGCAAAGGACAGGAAAAAGCCAATAGAAGGGGGGCTGCTGCAGAGAATAACGAGTCCATGCAGAAGGATCAGCTGCAAGTCCCCGAAAAGAGAAATGCACCGCTAGCTGAGAACTTCACTGGGAAAACACTATCGCCTAAGGAAATGAGCCATATCCAGCTGCAAACAACGACAGAAGATATCAGTGGGCACCAGGCCCAGCTGCAAGCAGGAGGACGCACTATGCTTGAGGACCAATTGGCGAAGATTATGGCCAAGCTTGAGGAGTTGAAAAGCAATATGGAATGAGCCAAGAAACGAGAGACATATCATGATCCTGATGATGACAATGATGCAAGGAGAAGTAAGAAAGTAAAGACAGATGTGGTTAGTGGAAGCTACAGAAAAAATTGTCCTCTGCAAGGTAAGAATATGTCAAAGGTATTTGATATCCGGCTAATGACAAAGTCCACTCACAGAAAAAGAAAAATTAGGCCGCATGATGGAAAATGCAGGTGCATCCATCCAAGCATTCGGGCAATCATAAGGGTTGATGCCGATTTCCTCCCTGAAGCTGCCTGGACAAGTCGCAAGGTTGCCCTACAATTCTTGACTACAAACTGAGGGGATATTGTATGCCTCTTCCACAAAGACGGCGACAAGACAGGCACAGCAGCTGAAGAAGAAAGAGTAAAGTATAAGATTGTGGGGTCCCCTCTGGTGCAAAACCTAAATGAAAAAAAAAGCAATGGGACAGAACGAACACCAGGTTTCCTACACTGCGGATGCCCCGAAGACCACACCCTGTTTGACTTCTACATCTGGAAATACATGCGAGCCACTGACGGCAATGGCAACAACAAAGAAAGTATGCAAAACCAATTTATCCCCCCCCGCTTGCGATACTTCCTATACAAAACTGCTTGTGACTTTGGGGTCAACATTGATAGTTTGTATACTCACAAGCTGGGGTTCAACATCAAGAAGCAGATCCTTTGTAAATTTATATCCACCGCAATTGATATGTTTCACGAGCTAAACAATAAGGATGGGGAGGATAAAGAGGTATTTGGGTCCAGTGGTGCTTGTGCAATTTTGAACAATCCAGTGTTTGATTCTGACAGTGACAAGAGTTCAATGTAAAGCTCTGATTCTGACAGCGAGTAGGATTACCGTACCATACTGCTCTCAGTCAATGTAGCAGCAAGATCAAATGATGGCTGTATCAAACCATAAAGGGGGCATATGGTACTGTTGTCTCATATGTGTGTGACCTATATGGCTGTATCAAACCATACAGTTATATGGTATTGTTGTCTCATATGTCAGTGACCTATATGGCTGTATCTAACTATATAGGTAGTATATGGTGGCACCATACTATATGTAGGTTACCCATATGGCTGTATCTAACCATACAGTTAGTATATGGTGCAGCCATACTATATGTAATTTGTCCATATGGTGGTATTGAACCATATAGCTGGTATATGGTATTGTTATCTCATATGTGAGTGACCTATATGGCTGTATCAAACCATACAGTTAGTATATGGTGCGGCCATACCTTATGTAATTTGTCCATATGGTGGTATTGAACCATATAGCTGGTATATGGTATTGTTGTCTCATATGTGAGTGACCCATATGGCTGTATCCAACCGTACAGTTAGTATATGGTGCGGCCATACCATATGTAATTTGTCCATATGGCGGTATCAAACCATATAGGAAGTATATGGGATTTTTGTCTCAAATGTGAGTGACCCTATATGGCTGTATCAAACCATAGTGATATATGGTGGGGCCATACCTTATGTATGTTGCCCATATGACTGCATCAAGCCATACAGGTAATATATAGTGGTACCATATATATGTTTTTGACATGGGTAGCCAGAACCATATGAGTAGTACATAGTATTGTTGTCTCATATGCAAGTGGCCTATACGGCTGTGTCAAACCATACAGGCATTATATAGTGGTGCCATATGATATATATATGTTTGCCATATGGCTAGAGAGGGCCATACTGGCAATATATGGTTCTGTTGTCTTATATGTGAATGGCATATATGGCTATATCAAACCATACAGTTAGTATATGGTACTGTTGTCTCATATTGAAGTGGCCTACATGGCTATATCACACCATGTAGGGAATATATGGTACTGTTATCCCATATGTGAGTAGTCATACTGATATTATATGGTATTGACATCTGATATGCATGTTTCTTAATATGGCTATCCAGATCTATGAAATACCATGGGTTGCTTATCACCTTGTTTTATCACCCGAAAATTAATTATTATCCACATGTGAGGTTGCATTTCTCATAAACTGGTGTTTTCCCCTACAAAAGTAGTTGCACGTTCAGTTGAAAATTGTCTAGGATACCCAGTGTAATTTCAGGTACCGGTTTATCGATCTGAATTCAGCTGTCAAAGCGTGAGATAAATTTAGCGGTGCAGAGTCGGGGATTCCAATCTTATCCTCATCATCACTTCTCAAAGCGAGTCTTATAACTTTCAACGCTCCAGAGAACACTGTCATATAGGGATCCAGTGTTCTTTTATCACAAGAGCTCGACTGTAGCTCGCACAATGGTACGTAGTTCGTGTGATTTAGTAAATACTTTTGCTTTTGCTCACCTCAAACTTCGTTGAAGGCGCCCAAACAGAGAGCTGGCCAAAATCCTTCAGGTCTAGGGAGAGCGATTATCAATAAAAAAGTCAAAGATGCCCGCCAGCAGCAAGAGTCAAGCCTCGTATGTGCTCATTTCTCCGTCGGATGTGGACTATGATTTACTGTAAGGCTGCTTAACAGTACACAACAGAAATCGATAACACCATTCGGCTGAAATCCGTCACTCAGGAAAAGGATCTGGATGAGTTCTTGAATACAGCTCAACTGGCGGGAACAGAGTTTACAGCTGGTGTGTTATGATATATAGGTTCGTTACCCGTTTGGTATTCACCTTACTTCCAGAAAAGCGCAATGTGAAAATCATACAATCGCCAGTTGGACCGACGCATAATCCATACCTCCTTAGTGATCAAGAAGAAGAAATCACTCTTCAAAAACATCAAGCCAACAAGCAACGGCTCAGAGTACCAAGAAGACCACCGTGGACGAAGGCCATGACAATGGCTCAGCTAGAACGCCAAGAAAAGGATTCATTTCTAGAGTGGCGGAGAGGTCTTGCTGAGTGTGTCGCTTTTCATGTGTTGGCTATTGGACGTCACAGTTAAAACGATGTTCTTCTAGGCTTCAAGAACAAGAGAAATTCCTTCTCACGCCGTTCGAAAGGAATTTGGAAGTTTGGCGCCAACTGTGGCGTGTAGTTGAGCGCTCCCATCTAGTTATCCAGATCGTCGATGCTCGTAACCCATTGAGATTCCGTTGCGAGGATCTTGAGGCGTATGTGAAAGATATAGAGGGACCTGAAGGTGAAAAGGGAACTGGAGGGAATAAAAGGAAGAGCCTTCTGTTGATCAATAAGGCGGATCTCTTAACTGTCCAACAGAGGCAAGTACGGACTCATTTTCAACCTTCTTTTGTAGAGATTTGTGGCATCGTACCGCGAAAAGCTAACCATTTTTCCTGTTTTCAATGTCACAGGCGTCATTGGGCCGATTTCTTTGACAAGCAAGGGGTTCAGTTTACCTTCTTCTCTGCTGCCAATGCTGTAGCCATACAAGAAGCACGGAGGAATGCACTAGCTGAAGCTGAAGCAAAGCTTTCACCTGAAGAATCATTCGGATCAGAATCAGAGTCGGACAATCCACCAACACCCAGCGCTGAAAGTAGCGATAGTGAAGATATATACAATAGCGCAATACAAGATGAAGGTTCACAGTCCCTTGGCGACGAAACAGAGGATGAGTATCCTAACGTTTTAACCGAAGACGATCCACTGGATGGGCAAGATCCTCGCATTCGGGTCCTATCAGTGATGGAATTAGAAGATCTCTTTGTCACTGTTTCGCCTGACCTCGATGGTATGTGTATGGTATATGTGTAGCTTGTATTTGAAGGAAGCCTGATTTATATTTATGTTGAAGCGTTTAGGGATTCCTCCGGAAATCGTCCGACTAAGCTGGTTGTCGGACTTGTTGGTTACCCAAATGTTGGGAAATCTTCTACGATCAATGCTCTTGTAGGTGAGAAGAAAGTTAGCGTGTCCTCGACTCCCGGGAAAACCAAACACTTCCAAACTATACACTTATCGCCTACCATCGTACTTTGTGATTGTCCCGGCTTGGTGTTTCCTCAGTTCACGACAACGAAGGCAGCGCTTGTCTGTGATGGGGTTTTACCGATTGATCAAATGAGAGAATACAGTGGCCCTACTTCACTTGTGGTGAAAAGACTACCGATAGAAGTACTTGAAGCGACGTATGGTCTGAATGTGAAAATAAGAGGGGCAGACGAGGTTGGTGATGTGAATGTCACAGCCGAGGACTTTCTGATATCATATGCCAGTAAGCAATATGGTTTTTTATCATTTCGGGATGCCCTGACCACGTGAATTGCTCCAGTTGCTAGGGGTTTTATGCGCTCAGGACAAGGCAACCCGGACGAAGCGAGAGCTGCACGGTATATTCTAAAAGACTATGTGAATGCAAAGCTGCTTTTCTGTCACCCACCCCCGGGAGTAACAGAAAAATTGTTCAATGGGCGCACACATGAGCTAGCGCTCCTCCGAGCATCCAGCAAAAAGCGAGCTCCGGAGACGAGGGTTGCCAAAAATTCTGATACTTTTGTACCGCCGAATTCTAGCAGCACTCTCGCTACTAAAGATCGAGGCAATAAATCACAAAGGCTTGATATGGAGTTCTTCACTAACAGCTCCAACTTATCCTTTCGTCCTTTCGTTCAGGGTTCAATTCGAGATGGGCAAGAATTCTCTAGGGAACGAATATATCCGCATCAGAACATTCTCGCCAGTGATGGGACCCCACTCGGCGAGCGGAATGCAAGGATTGCTACAGTGTTAGTCAATGAGGGTGATATTGGATCGAAGAAGCATCACAAGAAAAATAAACGTATCAAACAGAGAAGTGGGAGAGGATATGATTGAGTGCCCATGTAACTTATGTACAGTATTCCACCGGCGCTTGTGCCAATGCGTCACAGCGCTCGATTTCGCACCACGAGACCTTGAAAGGGTCTCAAACAAACTAGTAAAAGCCCTAGACTTGTATAGTCAACGGTCGTTATGTTTGCATTCCGCGATCTCAAGTTCGACTTATTTTTGTCTGAAATATTGCTAACCCCCAGTCAGAAATACAAAAATAGAACATGAAAATGATGTGAGCTCGGATCACCTGACCACATTTACAGATCCATACCATTGTAGATAGATTATTTCAATCCATAACTATATTCACGATATTTAAAGATACAGCTGAATTCAGATTGATAAACCGGTACTTGAAATTACATATACAGTGGGGTTGGACAGAGTGTGAAATTTTTCACAGTGCCGATGAGCGGCATGTAGGCTGTCAGAGTCTAACCTTGAGGACAACATGAGGCACCACATCCACAAAGAACGCAAGGCCATCACCCTTGACCTCCATTGACACAGTATCCCCGACCATCAAACATTATGTTACCTAGGGATCAGCGAGAGGACTGTGAGGAGGATCTGACAAACATACCAACAAACTGGAGAACTTGAGAGAATACCTGTTTGCCCTTAGAGGGCTGCATAGAAAGGCAGCCTGATATGCAGACTCCAAACCAGTTGACAGATGTGTGTATATGCTACATCCTAGTGCTTAGTGATTATATAATCTGATTGTATAATTATCCAAAAATTTACCAAAACTTGAGTTGAGCATAACACACATGGCCGACTGGCACAACTTGTAGTGGTGCCAGATTTGGCCCTATTTGCCCCTCCGCTCCTTCCACTCAAATCAAGCAGGTCGTGACCAACATCCGGGGAACGTCAATCAGAGTTGTAAAAATAGAAAACAATTTGAATATAATGTACCTAAGCGATCTGGATTTTGCCACGAGTGAAATGGGCTGTGAGTGAGCTGCAAGGATACAGTGTTGTGTAAGGAATGTAAAACACAATCATAGCAACATATATAAGGACCTGACTGCCCTATGCTAACCTAAGAACACCACCACAATGCCAGGAAACAGTACTGCAAGTTGGTTAAGTAACATTATAGCATGTCTACAACAGAATGAACTCACACTTTCAGGAGTGATCCAAGGAGTTTTAAAGAGCAACAAACCTAGTCACAAAACAGCCCGGGAGTTGCTTTTACGCAATGCACAAAGGATATGTACTGTTCTACACAAGCAGTCGGCCGCTCACCAGTCAGTATTTTCATGGGCATTTGGGCTTGTTAGTGGGGTGTTGTGCAAGAAGGTTGAAGAACTGAGCCAAGAGCAACACGACCTTCACTTCAAGGCAAACACTGCGACCACAGAACAGCTAGACAATACTTTCTTGTCAGTATTAGGAACAAAAATGAAAGATATAGCACTGCACCTTTGGATTGTTGTACAAAGGCTTCTCAAAGGTCCCAATGATCGGCACGTGAAACTGAGACAAAACAATGATGAAATGCTGGTAGGCTTTGCACCGCTGGTGGAGAATGACCTTGGCAAACTAGGTGGTACCAAGGAGCTTGCAAGAGACAGCGAGCATGATGAAGAGAGCCCTATGAAAAAAAGCCAGAAGCAAGCAGGGGCAAGAAATGCTGCACTGCTGATGATTGTGAGTGAATTGTCACTAGGCTGTTGACAACTAGTAACCATAGCTAGAAATGGTTATTTGCATTATTATCTTCCTTCAAAGCTTGAACAAAAGATGTAATTACCTTCAACTTCAAGCAATACTAGGAATATTTTATCACTCGACGTCCGTTCCTGAGAAAGTCATTGAAACCCTCGCTCACGCTGGCCTATCTGTCAGCCTATCATCCATCTACCAAGCTATAGTATCCCTCTCAAAGGACACCTCTTCACAAATGAAAAAGGCCCTTCATTCACTGTGCACTGCGATTGCGTACAACAATTTTGACATTGACTTCAAAACAGCCCAACCAACTGTTGAGAAAAGTGGAAGCTTTGTTAGTGCAACCTCTGCGACAGCTATTTCCCTTTTTGGCGTGCAGGATCCTGTGCCTCTGTGTTGTTCAGCTCAACTCTAGCAGTGTGATCCCAGAAATCTGTCACCTTTGTCTTTCCCACTGATGAATGACAACAGACTTATGCTTGCATTCCACAAAGAGGACACTTACAGCCACAAAACTCATCCTGAAAGACTTAGTCCTTGCTATGAAGCTTTTGCGTGGCATGTTTGAGATATTCTTGTACACCGAAGCAGCTTTTTTGAGCACTTCAAGGACATTCCTGGCAAACCAGAAGCGGTCAAAAAAATACCTGTACACGAAACAAATCAGATCCCATTCTGAGCAATGAATATAAAGCAGTCAACAGTGGATGGGAATGTAGAAGTCCTAGAGAACTTACTTAGGCAGGGAGGCATTGGTGACAAAAATGACAAAGATTTTGATGAAGACCATGACATTGACATGTCTGAAAACATTCTTCTCGTACATGGAGACCTCCTGATGAAGGAACAAGTGGATTCAGTGCAAGATACGAGGAGAATAGAAGAAACACCTCAAAATTGCTTTCAGTATATCATTTTCATCCCTGGACTATTCCACTATAAGATGGCATGTGCATGCACTATGATGTACTTACATAAATCCAAAGGCATGGAGGGACAACGAGAACAGCCTCTTCCAGAGCGTAGGCATCCTCCGACCAAACAAAACAGGTAAAATTGTGACTAAGCCTGGATTTTGCCGCATGTATGATGTTATACACCATGACTTGTGGGCCTCAATACTCAACTGTTGGCGCATAGAAGCACGGAGCTGCAATCAGGAGTGGACAATATTGGAGATGTTTGCGAGGGGTCAGCCAACCTGGGACCTAGTAATGGAGATGTTGCAAGAGATTGTGAAGAAAAACATTGCAGGATCGGATAAGATCAGTGTAGGCCGCAAAAGACCTGATGTTGAGCGAGGCAAAAACTTTGAGAACCAGACCTTGTGCAACCGTGATGAATTGCTATATGTCGACCTCTGCCAGGCGATGAATGCAGGTGATATTGGGAGAGTTGAGACATTGTTCCTTCCATGGATCTATCATGTCAAAGCTACAGGAAAATATAAGTATGCTTCACAAATGATGCGCTTTGTCACGAACCTTCGAAGAAATTATCCACCATCTGTAAGGTAGTCTTTTATCCTTGATTTGTTTTGCATCAGGAGCTGATGATCTAATAGTAGGATAATTAGAATGAACTTACTCTGCAACCCGACAGGTAAGGTGGATGCATTCCGTGCCATGGATTGGCTAGTAGAAAGAAACAACCTGTACACAAAGGTCAGTAAAGCTCTTGCTGTTCTAACATCCTGTCCTTAACAAGAAAAACAAGGTTGAATTTGCAGAATCTGGGCCGAATCATACTATTGATCACATTATAAAAGAATCTCCTCTAATTAAAGTTTACCGATACTGCCACACAGTAATTGAGAATGTGTTCTACCTTCAGCACTGCACAATCTGACACGCCCCACCTGACATGACAAAAACCATTCAAAAATTAGCTGTACACATGAAAGAAAAAAAAGACTCACTCTTTCATACCAGGCCAAACAGCACAGAGTGTTATTAACAATCAATTAGCAGTGGGTATGAGTTTGATGCACAGGACAAAAGTTGAGGAGGAGGAAGAGCCCAAAAACAACGTCGAATTAGAAGCTGAAGACTTGTATGAGGAATGACTTACCAATGCAGTAGTTAGTTTGTACTAGGAGCAACATTCTGAATGTTTTTCTTGGAGCGAGCTGGCTTGGCAATGTATTTTGGACAGGAACAGTTTGACGCTGGAAAAATTGTTGTGAAAACAAAGAAAAGGAATAAATAAATGACCTACCAATGTGGCCAACGGCACCACAAGATCTGCATGAGTACGGACACTTCTAATTAGCCATGATAACATCATTGCCCATTGGTAGGACATTAGGCATCTTTACAGGGCCTAAAACTGAGGTAGTGGATGTTGATGTGGAAGCAAGTGCAGGGACAACTACATTGATTGAATTGATAGTGTCAATCAACGACAATCCTGATCTTGAGTCAATCAGTAATGCACATGAGCTTGTATTGATTGTGCTGATCAATGATGTTTCTGGACTTGTGTGTGATCTAGAAGGTGGAGTTGCACGTGGGGGCAGATAGTGTGAATGAGCAATAGCAATTATGGCAGGCCCATACAACTCTGCATAACACCAGTTTGTTTGCTCCTGAAGAGCGGTCACACTGATTAGCTTCTGGAAACAAGCCAGCACCACAACTCTAGCCAACAAATCATCAGGCATGATGCACTGAGCGCCAAAGATATTGTCTCCTTCAAGTCCCTCCTCCACCATTTGCTGCTTGCACCACTTTTTCAGGCTGGCTGTGAGATCACTGTCTGGCATAGATACGTCGCTGTCCTTCAGTTTGAATTTTCTCTTTGATTGTTTTGATACTGGCTCTGGAGTATTTGGTTGAACTAACAAGAACAAGGATGGGTTACAAGTGTCACAACAAAGGCATGACACTTCCTTGCAACACTGTGAGCAACACAGTCCGAGTTGTTCAGAATTGACTGTGCCATGCAATGATAGGATCGGCCAGTGGTATTTGAACTAGGTAGTACGCACTTTCAGAGTGTTCAAAATATTCATTGACAATTTTACGCCGGCAGACTTGACAAGAACGAGCATTTATGAACAAGTCCATCACAGCAATCTCGTATGCATCATTATCAAGACATTTCAAGCTCAAAACATTCCGGATGTGGTCGTGAGGTGTGCCCAGTTTATCTTGATGTGGATGAACTTTCTCTCCTTGTTTCTTTGCTGAGGTGGCCATTGGAATCTCTTCCACTTCATCCTCACTCAAATTGCTACTGCTGTCCAAGTCATCAGAGTGGATTTTGTCTGGAAAAGCTATTTCTTTTGTTGAAACCTGCCCCCTTCCTTTCTTTTCTGCAGATCCATTTTTGTCGCTTTTTCTCTTTCTCTTTTTAGAGCGTTTTTTTTTCCTTTTTTCAGCACTGGCTCAATATAAGTCAAAGTGTTTAGCTTCAACAAGATATATGCCAGTTGCTTCAACAGAGGGATGTCATGCAGCCCGTCCTCTCTGCTGGAAAAGTGTACAAGGTGACTTTGTATATTTCCACTAAATAACCAAGCCCACATCCTGGATGTCAAGGCCCTGTCCTTTGAATGTCAGTAGCTTTATTGATTATGCTTAGTAGCTAAAACTTGCCATTCTAGCTGCGTCTGTACAACAAATGCCCTAAGTCTCTCCTTTTTGCAGCCTATCCATAGTTTTTTGCTGGAATTGTGCGCTTATTCCTGAATGAAACCAAACAATTTTGTTTTGTTGGTGAGCAAGGTACCGGCTTTGAAGGTAAGTCACAATTCTCTCTGTTTCCTTGTGGGAATCACTGAAAACCATAAACTTCTGAGATGGCTTTTCACCATCAATTGCAAGCACCCACTCTAAGTCATAAAGTGTCTTTGCAGGCTATTGCATTTCTTCTACCATGAGGTGAATATTTGGGCGATCACATGAATGCACAACTTTAACTACATTATTTTCTCTAATTTGTAGTTTCCTCAGGACATCCTGGAATATAGGTGGTGGCATAGTTGCAGATGCAACATGAAAAGCAACTTTTGATGGTAGTATCCAGCAAAGCCTACCAAGGTCAGCATACTCTGGTTGAAAGTTATTACCCCACTTGCTAATACAATGGCCTTCATCATAGGTGATATTGAAGAGCTGGTCCGTGAATTTAGTGTTCTTCCAGAGAGCATTGAAACAACGATCGTGAAGGATTCGCTCTGGGCTGACCAAAATGACACGGTATTTAAACTGCATTATATCCTGACCATAATTCCTTGTTAATAAACCACTATAGCAAAATAACAAATGACCTTGAAGGCCTCATCTGCGGCATTTTTTGCATCCAGATTGATAGCAGGGATGTCCTATTGCTTCAGCTCATCAACATTTTGTGCTCCAAGAATTGTGAGGGGGTAAACAACAATTATTATCCCATTATCATTGAAAAATAGTGGGATCCAGAATGTAAGTGTCTTGCCTGATCCTGTTGGTGCAATGGTGAACACATCTTTTCTTTGTAGTTGTGAACGAGCAGACTGTATTTATAAGTCACATGGTATAATCCCAAACTTTTCTTGCACGCATTGCTTGGCTTTTTCTACACTGGGTACTTTGATCTTCAATAATGACATAAGATAGACAAAGATAGAGTGCTCAGAAAGGCTGTGACCTTAATAGAATACCTGAATTTCTCCCCATTGTTTCTATTTCTGTTTTCTATTTTTACAACTCTGATTGACATTCCCAGGACGTTGGTCACGACCTGCTTGATTTGAGTGGAAGGAGCGGAGGGGCAAATAGGGCCAAATCTGGCACCACTACAAGTTGTGCCAGTCGGCCATGTGTGTTATGCTCAACTCAAGTTTTGGTAAATTTTTGGATAATTATACAATCAGATTATATAATCACTAAGCACTAGGATGTAGCATATACACACATCTGTCAACTGGTTTGGAGTCTGCCTGATATGATAATTAGTGATTTACAGGAACAGCTGCAAGAAGTGTGTGAAGTGCAAGCCTCCTTGACAACAATTCTGAGAACTTTGAAGAGACAGGGTTTTATGATGAAAAAGGTGAGTATTACATCTGATGTATCAATAATTTCTACTGAGGAAACATTGGTTTCAGGTGACCCATCCTGCTTGCAAGTGCAATGAAGATGATCATGCTCTCTACAAAATGTTGGTTGGTGACCACTTTCAGGCAGACCAATTGGTATTTGCCAACAAAACACACTTCAATCACATAACCTTACGCCGACCATATCCATAGGCACTATGCGTGGGTTGTGCTTGCCGAAGGGACTTTTTTGTCCGTGGATGAAGATACTTGATTTTACTGGTGATTTCCTTGGATTGGTTCATCCATCTTGAAGTTCTTGACTGTCCATTTACAGGTGATGCTTTGGAATTCATTGAAGGTATGCTCAGCCAAATGCAGTCTTGGCTGCTATTAAATTCTGTCCTAGCGGTTGATAATGCAACAATCCTTGAGCTTTTGAAGGAGCCTGCGCAAAACTGGCTTGAAAAGCCCCATCATATTATGGAATTAACGAGGATGTCCACATAATAGCTCCCTAACCCAAGCATGACCAGTTAAAATTGAATTATGCTGATGTGATTTAATATGATACTGAAGCCAGTGATATAGCAGCAGCTGTGGCTGAAGCCAGGGAAGCAGCCTTCCTTTGTTGAGCATGGGATGACTTAAGGAGAGCCAAGGCAGCTGTTTTCTTTCGAGAAGAGGATGTGGTCATAATGGAGGCTTGGGGGGCAGGAAAACCATTATCTACTGATAATCTACAATACCAAAATGTGCGTGACATGGTGTGACATAGCATGAGAAATTCTGTTTGCCTCTCAGCTCATCCAAAACAAGAGCCATTTAGTTTGAATGAGCTGACACTTTACAGTGAGGAGAATTTGATTGCTCCAACATGTTTATCAAAATATGTTGGAAAAAATAATATTTGGGTCAACATTTGAACTACCTTACATTACAAATTTCATTTGCTATGGATATATAACAAATATAATACTTATTTCCTTACAAGTTTCAGCCATGGGTTAAACTAGCAATGTTGAGGGATACAAAAGTAATTGCGAATAATAATAATTTTATTGAACATTTGTACATTCCAAGATTCAACATTTCAGATACATAGCATGACACAATATAAATTACTTATTTTAGCCAAAAGTTTTGAGGGAACAAAAACAACTAATTGTGAGTATTTTGAAAATGTAAAGGAAAAATAGGTCTTTAGCCAGTTGGAAAATACATTGCCCAATGGTCGCCCAATGGTCGCCTGCTTTTTGCCCCTGAACTGCCCACTTGTTGGGTGAGCCATTAATTCTATAACAAAAGTATCAGATGAATAGTAAGAAATAAAAGAGAGATATTTACACGAGAAAGGGACATAATCACGACTGTATTGGGGGTCATTTGCCAACACGCATACTGACACATGACCCAATCAAGGTCAACTGCTTCGGGTGTAGGAACCAGAAGGGGTGAGTATAAAGCAGCAGGGAAATGATCTAAGAAATCAATACTGAAGCATAATAAGTAAATGAAAATGTGAAGAAGACTGTATCTACTAACCTCGGTTTTGTGCAATACAAACTGAGGTGTAACTATCCTAGAAACGAGCATAAAAATGAGAAGGGAAAGTCCGGGTTTTTTAATCCCAATGGGGAAATATTTTCCCACAACTATAGGGTGAAAGATCAGACTGTAAATGAATTATCTAGTACTTGAAAGATTAGCGTAGGCTCAAATAAAATGTTGAATCATGAGAATGATATATTGAGTATATGGAAATATGCCTACAAATGAGGGTACTGTAGAAGTGGATCTACTGTGCTAGTAGGAGCCAGAAGGT